ATTTCCCCCTCCTCCTCCTCCTCCTCCTCCTCCTACCACCCCCCTCCCTCCCCTCCCTAGTCCCTACAACTCATAATATGACTCCGCCCAGTGACGTTGATCTGTTTCAGTCCTCCACCAGATAGATAGATAGGAAGGATACTTATGTTTGAGTTAGGTACGGAGTAGATGGAATGGAGTCGGTCGGAGATACTTGACAGCCTCAGCTGAAGTAAATCCTTTGTTTCTGGGTTTCCCCCTCTCCTCCCTCGCGTACTTTGGCCCAGTCCTTCCTGAATCGGAGCCAGTAGGAATGAAAAAAAAACAAAAGTACCATCAGACCTAACCGAAAGAACTGTTCAATTTGTGATTTCGAGAGGGCAAAAAAAGGTCGTGACAAGAGACAGGTCCAATAAGAAGACTTCCCATGACGTGCTCACCCGTCATCACTGGGCGACGATACTTCCTTATTCATTCTGGGTTTCTCCCGAGCATTGAACCACGGTGGCCGACGGTCAGCGCCGCAAGGGCCAAAAGGGGGACCAAAGGTAAGAAGTGATTGGAAAAGACAGGCGCGCAACGAAAGGGAGTTTGTTCAGTGTTGAATTTTTTGTGAGATGTTTCCCGTGGTCGGGCGTGGAGTGGCTACCGGTGTTAGAATCCCACTAATATGGGCCATGTACTGTGCAACCACCGCGAAAAGCTCTTTCATCCAGTCTACTGTATCTACCCATGTGCACAGCACAGACAAGGAAAATCGACTTCGTGATGGCCGTTGTTGGAATCCTTGTTTCAAACAACATCCACCCTATAAATCAAGAGCAGCAGTAGATGTGCTGTATCTTCCTATCTATCGATCCTATCCACTGCATATGTACTAAACTCACTATCTTACCCCATACATCTCAGGGGGGAATCACAATTCACAACTAATTAGGGGACCAATTTCGTCACTTTAGCAACGCTGTGATTCGATCCCCCCGAAGAGACACATGTTCCCGGGTGGTTCTTGGATCGGCGGCTTGCACATCCTTGCCCAATATTCAACGCTGCCTCCTCAGTCGTTGGCTGTTCCCGGCCATGATCCGTCAGAAGATGTCGAACCCGCGGGAATGGATCGTCCTGCCCCAGCCGTTGATGCTGCTGGTGGAATTTAAGCTAGAGGGAGTAAACCCGCCGCCAATCGATCACTGGCAGTTTGAAATTTTTCTGCACATCAAGGGTGGGTGGATGTGTGTGTGTCGCTCTGTGTGTATAGTATCGTGTATTGTGTAGATTACCCATGTGTAGTATTGTATTGAGGACTCCGTGCTAATCTGAGACTTGACCAGCTGGTGGAATCGCGGTTCCCGACCCAGCTGGACACCCTACTAGGAGGACAATGGAATGTTGCACCGTCGAAGGGCGCGCAGTTTGATTGCCATCGCTAGCTCCGTCGTCGTAGAAGCAGAAATAGTAACAGCTTCATGGCTGAAATCAGCCATGGACTGATTGATATTGCGGGTGATTTCCCACCCATCTACCAGTATCCCAGCGGGGGGGAGCCATAGGGCATGGGACTAGGGTACTTTTAGGTCCCAAGGCCCTGAGGATCCCCATTTCTACCAGGTTGTGTCTCGCTGGGGATCAAACCAAGAAGCCACAATCTGATGGGCTCGATCGACATTGCATGACCTCCCCTGAAGGACTTCAGAAACGAAAAGACGTTTTGAACTATGACCGACTGACTACCGTTGACTACAGACAGCTGTTGCCCCATAAGAGGGAGATTAGCCATCTACGGTAGGCTCGCTCTGCCCTGCGTGGCTTAATGATCCGCCGCCCGCCGCCGCCTCGGCAGTCGAGCAGGGGGAGGCGCGCGCGAGCGCGCCTGCTCTCACTCGCTGGGCATGAGTATTGCTATGACCCTGGCTACGTACTGTATGTATGAGTAGAATGATGGTCGTGGTTCATGGGTTTTTGTGTCGTCAATCATGCCGATTGTGATTAGTGAACCCGTGGCGACGGAACGACTTGAGTCAAAGGGGGCGGCGGCTGTCCGTGAACGGGCACGAACAAAGGAGAAAGATCATCATGTCACGCTTCGACATCATTCATCGCCATCGATCATCATCGCCTATATTGAAACCCATCCTCATGGTGTCCTTTCTCCGCCTTCCTCGGCACCGGCACACACACAGACAGTTTTTGAGTGTGGTGTGGCACTGGGCAAAGTGTGGGAAGCGGTGGGAAACAGATCAGGATCATCGCCATTCCTCCGATGGACCACAACTTTCTTCTCGTCGGGCGGGTTGGCTTTTTGCCCCCCTTTAGGGGGGGATTTGGATTCGCTGCTAAGGAGAAGGAGTCGTCGAACCAAGGGGCTTGAAATCCTGGGCGTGAAAGTCACTAACCGAACTAGAGGCACCGAACGAACCCCTAAAGAGCCGTGGAAAACCTGTAAGTAGTGGTTCCCCCTTCCCCTCTTCCGCCCGCCCACCAACCACAGGAAGGCAGGCCGAACGGAGCTCCTTCACCGAAACATTCAACAGTCAGTGCTCTGCTGCTTGCTGCTTGCTGTTGCTGCTGCTGATGCTGTGTTGTTGGGAGGAGGGAGAGGGGAATTGAGAAAATCAAGAAAAAAGTAAAGAAAAGAAAAGAAAATTAGAGAACAAAAGAAACGATTGAAGTTCACATCATCGTCATCACCATCATCATCTTGAATGATTAGCGCGTAGGAAGATTTTCTTTTCCTTGTCGATAGGGTACCTTACTTGACCAAACTGCCGGTTCAGCTGCTGCTTGCTCTGTATAATATTGTATATTATTTCCCATGCCATTTTTTGGAGGTGATGTTTATCTAATATTTTCTTTCTCTTTTGGGCATATCTCAATCTCTTTCTGAATATTCCCGTACCCAGGAATACGGCGAATATCATTCCAGTGGCGGCCACGAGTCTTCCCACCTTTAGTGCGCTGGCACTAGCCCCGAAAATGGACAAGTAGCATCCACCGGGGTACCACTCCGTACTCTGTTTGTACCTCCCATACCGAATTTGGCACTGTTTTCTGCCCAAAAGTACACCATGTACTAGATGGGTTATGTGACTTTACTCACTTGCTCCATCGCATACGTAGGTAGTGTGGTCTCTACTGGGCTGTGTACACTGTACAGTACGTACTGGATTCGCTCTATCTTCAGCTTCTCTCTTTCTCTTTCTTGTTGTTTCTGTTTATTTTTTATGTCAGGGCGTTTTTCGCCTCTTTATTTATAAACCATATCCGAAGCTGATTATATGGTACACTACACATAGTTTGATGACGAGGGAAATAGTATGCGCTTAGGGAAAGTGAGTAAGCGGCTTTGGTCATCGGAAGTATTCCTCTTGAGTAAAAGTGGACAAATATAGGTATCCCGCGTGTAGTGAGTGGTAGGTTATCGTAGGATTATCTCCTCTCACATCCTTTCCTCTCCCTCCCCCTCCTTCCCTCCTCCGGGCCTCCTTCTTTCCTTTCCCAATTGGTACAAATTTGGTAATATTAGTCTCCATATGGTTTATTACCGAGTCATTAACCGGCTTTTTTTTCTTTTCTGGTATCATTCATTACTGTACTTCCCTTACTAACTTAACTTGATTCTGGTGACTACGGCCGAATGAAATTATATGAGCAAAAGTATCTGTCCCTGGGTCAATTGATTATCACTTACCATTCTCTCTCATTACTACCGCCATTATTATTTCCCACTCACCTCGACACCCGCGCTCTGCCCGCCAAACATCCACTGGAACCATCATTATTATTGCGACGAACTCTTCCTACAGCGACTCTCGCCGCGGCTTCCTCCAGTGTCTCCAATTTTTTTAAAGACTATTACTCCTCTTGCTCCTCCTCCTCCACTATTACTACCAACCAACACAGAGACAGAGCTCTTCTTGTTCTCTCCTTCTCCCCTTCCCTTTCTCTTTCTTCTCTCTCCCTCTCTCTCTCTCTCCCCTCTCTTCTTCTTTTCTCCTCTTTCCCCCCTCTTCCTTTTTCACTCGCACATCTATCCATTCTTCCTCCCTCCCCTTTTCGACCGAACGGGATTGCGACGGTGACAAACTTCCGTTCCTTAACGGCTTCAACCACACTACCACCAAACCGCTTCGACCACCAATTCTACCTCTCCACCCACTTCCACTGACCACTTTTAACCACCCCCCCCCCGGTCCAAGATTTTAGTCCGCCCGTTTTCGGACTGCCCAACGAACTTTCTCCCACTCAAGTTCGACGACTGCGAATAAAATCTAATTCCCTAATTCAAATAGACCCTTCGCCCGAAAAAGGAACATTGGCAATAGCAATTATTCCCCAGGGACACATAACCTGCGTTGTTGAATTGCTTGCTATTGTTGATTCTTCTATTTCTTCTATCATTTCCTACCTACCTACCTACCTACCTACCCAGCAACTGTATCGGCTATCTTTCCAAGTTCGCTTAACCGATACGTCTGTCCTTTCGGTCACTCCCTTTTTTGACCATCACTATTTTGGGAGGCCCTCCCCTTTTCTACTCCCCCCCTCCCCTGCGCTTCAATCTTCCGGTTACAAATCAATCAAAGTCTATACGATTCCAGTTAGGGTTTTATTCTAATCGATCCCCTGAAGTCGCCGCCTCTCCGACGTGGTGAACCCGGATCTCGTTACAGCTGTTTGTCTGCTTTCGTTGTCCTGGATTGCTTTTTCCGGCAGAATCCTCGTCTGCCGGCCTGGGAAACACCCCCCATTTGCTTCAACGACAGCTACCTCCAGCGAAACGCAGATCTTTCAAATCTGAGGTCATCGCTAGAGGTAGTCACGGCCTACTGTGAGAATAGAAGGAATTCGATTGTTGACCATATCCTGTTGTGGGATTTCTACCGAACCTTGAACGACCGGGAAACCTGGAAACCCGTCACAGCGACCGCCCGAGAGTTGCTCTGATTCCATTGCTCAAGCCACCCTCAACCACCGGAATTCTTAAATCCAACCACCGGCGCCACCGCCAGCACGCACAAACCATGGCGTCGACGTCAGACATGCACGGTTCCTCGCCTGTCCCAACCCTGCCGCATCCCCACGACAACGGTCGCTCGCATATGTCCTCACTTTCCTCATCCTCATCCATCTCTGACGTCGAAACCGAACGAAGAGGACGATCCGAACGCCCTCGCATGGCCAGTCGAAAACCGAGTGCGTCCATCCTTGTACCACGAGATCACCCCGAAATCGAGATTGAAGAAGAGGAATTCCCGCCCGACGACGCGCGCGCCATGAGTCCCCGCCGAAATTCCGCAGATCTGGAGCGACTGGGCAAGGAGGCCAGGCAAACATTACAGGAGTGAGTTTTGGGCACCATCCATCAATATACCCGTCTCATAGCATGGGCGCGACTCCGACCACGCACAAAGGGGGTCAAAAAAGGAAGAAGCTAATGGAATCTGGCGATTTACGAACAGGCAAGCTAGAGCCCTTCAATCCTCACTCCAAGCGCTAGCAGAACGCATCGAAGCCGTGAAATCCGATCATGACAAACTGGAAAGCGAAAACAAGTTCCTTCAGGATTATATTGGTGGATTGACCCGCAACATGACCAAGACGGAAATGGGACGGACGAGCACCAAAGTCAGAAAGGCGCAGAAATAACCACAAGATCCCTGTAATCGACCCTGGCTGTTTGGGACGGATAACGGTCGGGGCCTAGCAGCTGCTGCCACGAGACGGATGGCGAGCGCTCGATCAAAGCCACGAAACTTCACATCTGCCATGCGATGACCCCATTTTTCTCCTTATTTCTCGCCATCCCCGCCGATAAATTCTTGGTCTTCGTCGAGCCACATTCCCGGCCGGTCCCTGCGTGCCTGGCATAGTCGAGAATGGTTGCTGTTGGCCCAAGCGCGTCCTCCGCAATCCGCTAGTCGATCAATTTTCACAAGCAGGCCGGCTCTTTGAACTTGGGATCTGGAATGACATCTGCGGCTTTGTCAGGTGGAACCTCGTGCTACCCAGGGCGGTCGCCATATTCGACCGAAGGCTCGCGAAACATACGTCCTCGGATGACCCGTGTTGTTTACGAAATCGATATGACTTTAGGGGTGGCGATCACGTTGACAATCTCACGACTTCGGCCGGCCTAGTCTGCCGTGCCACCCAGCATGTCGCCGACCCACACGTCAATTCGCATTGCGCACGTCCCGAAGAACGATTGTGACATCATTGCATATTCTTTTTATCTGTTTCTATGGGAGCTTTTTCGTCGATCGACGCCTACAATCTTGGCAATTATGCCAGCGCGTGATCCGTGATGGTAGCACCATTGTTTATGCTGCCTGTCAAAGCCGATGATAGCCAAACCCCGGACCTGTTTACCTTCTACTGTTCATACCTTTTTCTTTTTCTTTTCTCCCTTTTCTTTTTTCTCTTTTTATGCCTTCGTCTTATTCCACTTCTTTTCCTACTTGTCTTATCATACCGGAGGCCTTGTGTATTGGCATAGCACGCGTGGCGTTGGGACTTTGACTGGGATTGATACTTAGACTCGATTGTTTTTGTTTGTTTCCATCATTTCATCTCTTTTTCAAATACGGAACCGCACTGGGCGCATTTGTTCTCATGGTCTGCAAAAAGGCGGGAAAGCATTTTCACGGAGCAGCCAATATCTTCATGTGGTTTTGCATCAACATCATCAACATCCACCAACCAACACTATCCCTCGTCAAGTTACAAATCACCATCCATCGTGGGTCCACGTCATCCGACCTCACACCCTTCTCCCCCTCCGCCTCCTCCACATCCACCTCGAACAACCTTACCACCGCTCTCAACGCCTTTCCCCCTTTATACTCGTGTACATTGGAATCGTCCCGGTCTGACGATTCGGAAATTGCGGCTTTTCTTTTTGTTTGATTGTTCTCATTTGGCACTGAAGACATTTGCTTACCATACCCAGAAGCGAGCGGTTGTTGATACATTTGAAATGAAAAAAGAAATTCGATACATTGGTGTTTCGCGTAGCTTTGTAGGATTTGACTGTGGGGCTCGCTCATCGCGCTGAAAATACCATGATTGTGACCTAGTCAACCACGAGTTGTCTGACACGGTGTGGGCTGGTACCTATGTAGATCCGTTTGCTATAGAACGGAAGTTGCTATAGGGATGAAACATCCCGTCGTCATCTCCGAAGGGTCGTACTACAGTAACCCCCAGTAGCATCACTCTGCATAAATCGATAATACTACGTACATACATCAAGGACATTCTGTATCGGCGGAGTCACAATCTTTCACCTGTGCACTGGGGTCTTCTTATACTTTCCCCCGTACTTTCTTCCCCCCCCCCCCTCTCCCCGACAGCCGATTAACCGACTGGAGAGTATGAGTATGGGTGTGAGGAACAATGACTGCCGGGGCAACAAGCATTCGGTTACATCCACCTTCCAGATAGTGTATGCGTGTTGCCTATTGTCGTAATTGATGTAGTCCGGAGGCTCGCACTTCTGTCTTTGACTAGACCAGAGGGGTAGAGGAAACGTCATTTCATGGGCAGTTTAACATCCACTGACTTTTCTTCTCGATCCTGACACTCCTAGTACAATCCATGCACAGCAAAGCAAAGTGGACAGACAGTATGACGGCAGCAACAACAACACCCCACAACCCTACCAATGCATTACAGCCGTTACTTCTTTAGCAGCACAATAATCATACATGCTCACGGAGTCCCGAAGTCCCAACCCCACTATCATCGATGCTCAGCCTTCAGCCTTCATACCAAAGAAATAGGGTCAGTAGTATGAGGACTACCGTACTATCGCCAGAGGGATCGTATCCCATAAATCACTCTATGTACAGTACAGCCCAGTCAGTACTACGGAGTATGTAAATCCCAAGCAAAAAAAAAAAGAAAAGAAAAAAGAAAAAAGAAGAATAAATTAAGATCTTCCCGTGAATCTGCAAGCCGCGTACGTCATACCTTACCCTCCCATCTGCGGTTTGCTGGGTCCCGGGGCCCGTGGCGTTGACTTCCGTTGCCGCTGCCCGCTGTGTCTTGCGGTGGGGGAGAGGAACTGGGGCTGGGGCTGGGGCTGAGGGATGAGGTGCCGGGGAGCTGTGTGTATACTCGTTTCTACCGTGTACAATACTATGGACTCTGCACGAAGGGTGAAGTTAGTGAGGTTAGGTAGGTGGCTACCTTGATTTTGGTGAGTCGAGCAAGCTTCGACAGTTTCTTGTGCCTTGGCTGTTATTTTCCCCCTTTGCTGGGATTATTGATTGGATGTGGCAACCTGTTAATCTCGATGTTCGATAATGGTACAAAAAATAACGAGTGACAACCAACTGTCTGTAAAGAGAGGCATCCTTTGTCACAGATGATTAAACAAAATAAGAAGATGATGAAAGAAAATAAATTTGAATGTGCTAAGTACAGGGTTTGTCATGGGGTTTTGGGTGGAAGTCGTCCCGGGACAAGCTTAACAGAGTGGACTATGGCCAGGGATATAGGGGACTGGTGTGCATTCTACAGACTTCATGATAGTGTTGGAAACAGGAACCTGGAGATCAAATCACATCCCGTTGCTCTTGTGGGACTCCATGCTCCATGCTCCATAGATTTCTTACCTAAAAGCAATTCTACTCATACAAGTACAGGGTTGGCAAGGTACTCTGTACAATTGAGGGAGGTATGTGGCGGCTAGTATATGGGCCCATAAGTCTATAGGGACAGTACTTTTGATCTTGTGTCTTCTTGAATAAGATGACTAGATAGGTGAGACTTGGTGAAATGAGTTTCTGCATCTTCTGAATGAAACACTGACCGACATTTTGCATTTAGCAGAGATAGGATAGATCGATCAAGTTTTTTTTCTTCTTGCCTGGCTCAGTAACAAGGGGACAGAGACCAGTCTTGTAGGTAAAGCACAGACATCGCAATTGTTCGTCTTGGAATGTATGTACACAGTACATGGTGTATACCGTTATGTAGCATTGTATAGGAAGAAATCTTTCTTAGCCACATACAATTGACTGAGAACTTAGCACCAAGTCTCACCTATCTAGTCATCTTGTTCAAGAACCTATTCCTGCTAAATGCTAAATGTCGGTCAGTGTTTCAATCAGAAGATGCAGAAACTCATTTCACCAAGGACGGGCGCATGTGATGTGAGGCTGAGAGTCACATAGTGTAGTCGAGTGTTGTGCCGGGTGTGTGTATATACTATACGGAGTACGGTGCTCGGCTTCCCACTTCTATTTAGAAACAGCTGGGGTCAATTGCGCCATAGTTCCATGCCCATGTATCTCTGCCCAAATCCTTGCCCAGATTAGTGTACATGCGGTATGCTTACAGCTATGCTTATTTCTTTATCTGCCACCCGCGTTCCTGACTAGTTATAGTCCTCCCACCCGGAAGTCACGAATTGCAAGCTTGTTTCTTGAAGCCTGTCGGCTGGAAATGAAATCTAATAAAACGCAGCTAAGGCGCACGATCAAACGCCATACGGGAGACAAATGTAACCAACCATGGCAAGCGCCATGATTGCGAAGGTATTCCGAGGTCAATGCCCACGCGAGAGGGTCGTTCTTGACAATTGTGTTTGTTGTTGTATGAGGGTGGGTAGGTAACAAGAGAGAGGTATTCTTTCCAGGGGGAATTGCGGCAATAGGCAAGGAAGTAGAAAAAAAAGATAAAGAAATCAACGAGAAAATGTAAAGGAAAAATAGAACAGGAATCGAAGATCCGCAGGTGAACCCGGAGGGGAAACATGGGCAATGTGTTGGATGGAAGAGCATAGCGAGGATCGCATGAACGGAAAGCGGAAAGCAAAGGCACAGAGCACCCCCACAGCGCAGACCAACTTTTGACTTCTGCCCTTTGCCAGTGATAGTTCAAGACCATGCAAAGTCATCGGGCATAATGGCAAGCGTGCAGCGCTGATCCCCTTTTCTAACCTTGGCCCCGCAGCCCTTGCGCACCCGTAACCCACGCCGTATTTTGTCCGACTTCATTTGCAAACCCGGACGCGAGTCCATCGTTATCTCTACTAATTTACTCGGCAGCGGGCTTCTCCTCAGTAGGAGCAGCCTCCTCCTTATCGGCAGGAGCGCTGGACTCAGGAGCAGCCGTCTCGGCCTCCGACGAGGTCCAGAGCGTCTAGGTGTGCATTAGTACGGGCGTGTCAAGCCGGGTGTAGCTGTATACATACCAGGTTGTCTCTGAGAAGCTGCATGATCAGGGTGGAGTCCTTGTAGCTCTCCTCGCTCAAAGTGTCAAGCTCTGCGGGCATTTGTCAGTCTTTGCCCTGCTCACACGGGGTCATACGATAAACATACCGGCAATAGCATCATCGAAAGCAAGCTTGGCCAGGTGGCAAGCCTGGTCGGGGGAGTTGAGGATCTCGTAGTAGAAGACGGAGAAGTTCAGGGCGAGACCGAGACGGATGGGGTGAGTAGGGGCCAAGTCGGTTTGAGCGACCTCAGTAGCGCTCTTGTAGGCCTCGAGGGAGGCATCAGCAGCGCCCTTGCGGCGGTCGCCAATGGCGAACTCAGCAAGGTAACGGTGGTAGTCACCCTTCCTGTTAAGAGCACCCGCCCAGGTCAGTATTGCAGCCATTAAACGGTACTTAAGAGACAGACGCACATCTTGTGGTAGAAGACCTTGGACTCGCCGCTCTGGGCAGAGGGGATCAAGTGCTTGTCGAGAACCTCAAGGATGTCATCGCAGATCTTGGCGAGCTCGGTCTCAATCTTCTGGCGGTACTCCTTGATAAGGGTAACCTGGGGACCGTTGCCCTTGGACTCCTCTTTTTGCTCGATGGAGGTGACGATTCTCCAGGACGCACGACGGGCACCGATGACGTTCTTGTAAGCGACGGAGAGGAGATTGCGCTCCTCGACGGTGAGCTCTACATCAGTGGAGGCAACCTCCTTCATGTTCTCGACCATCTCTGCGAGAAAAAGGTTAGCATGAGGGTGGTCGTGCGAGCGCGGGGTGGAGCGTTCAGGGATGACGTACCTTCGTAACGCTCAGCCTGCTCGGCGAGCTTGGCCAGGTAAACAGCATCTTCGCGGGCCATTGTGAAAGTGAGTTATCTGTGTGAGACCGAAGATGAAATGGTTAGTCAAATAACAGAGAGTCCTCTGGCAGAGAGTCGACGTGATGACAAAAATGGTGTTGATGGGGGAAATGAGGATGATGGGGGGATGCGCCACAGCGATCAACGGAAGATGATAGATAGTGTCTCCGAAGCGAGGGGCAGCCAGTCACAGGACAAAAGTGAGGCTGTGAAGTCAAGTGGTGCAAGGAACACGAAAAGCGATAACCGCCCTCCCCTCCTCTTCCCGGCTTCCTGGAAGCGTTCCCCGCGATAGGGAATATATTGCCCATCCGTCGCAGCAAGCACGTAAAATGGTCGGGAGTAAAGAAGATGGAGGTGGGAACAAGCAAGCATGATCGTTCCTCAGATCCTGTCCGCTGTACTGATCGGCCCCCTACCACGCACCCACATCCATCCACCCATCAACAAGACGCACGGCGACGATCCCAGAGGCTTGTTGACGGTTGAAGGAGGGTAAATTGCTCTGCTAGGCCTCCGTTCGGCTAGCCGGTGACAAAAGTGCTGAGTCGCGTTCCAGTGTAGTTAGGACGGAGAGGGGAGAGCAACGACTGCATGTGGTTCCAACCATTTCACGCGCGAGCTGACTATGGTCTCTCCAGTGTTCCAGAACCTCTCGATACCACAAGTCTAAATCATTTGCGATCGTGAAAGCCACCGGAAACGACGGAGCGGCTGCGTCATCCGGGATGAGGAGGGGAAGTTTGAGGGGAGGGGGGAGTGTCTTTGGTGGTAGAAGTGGAAAAGATGACGGCAGTGGAACAGATAGGAAACCAACTCACCTGAACGGAAGATAGAGAAGGGATTGTATTTGCTCTGTTGTCTGCAAAGTCAGTGGTATTGTAGAGTGAGATAGGCGTGAGTGAAGGATTATAGAGCAGGGAGATTTTTTTATTCCTTGTTGTACTGCTCGTTTGGGATGTTTTGCTGTTTCGAATTTTGAGGATTGGGGGAGGGGGAGAGGCCAAGTTGGATCACTAAGCGGGCAGGGGGGGGGGAGGGGGGAAATGGTAGGTTTGGGTGAAGACGGAGGGGAAATTAGGGAGAAATCAGAGAATTGATTGCTGACTGACCGGATTGGAGAGGAGACGAAGAAGTGAGATAGGTTGGAAGGAGTTAGTCAGAGGGAAGAGAGAGGAAGAGAGATAGATTTAGAGTGGTGGTGGTAGTAGTAGTAGTAAGTTGGAGGATGTAAGATGGGAGAGGTTTAGTAGTAGTTTGTTGGCGGGTGCTGGCTTAGTGTCGGGGGAGGGGAGGGGAATGAGAAGGGAAGAAGAGAGGGAGGGAGAAGGGAAGGGCAGAAGGGGGGGGTCTGTTTAGTCCAGGTGGGAAATGGGCAATTAATGGCGGCCGGAAAGAGAGGGAGGGGAACGGAGGCGTAGGAGGAGCCAGACTGAACAGAACAGAACAGAACAGACACCGACAGATAGACAGACAGACAGGAGAGAGTCAACCAAGTCACTCACTCAGTCACGCACTCATTTACTCTTTACTTCCCTCTATTCCTCCCTTTCTCATTCTATGGTCAGGAAATCTTCCCCCCCCCCTCCCCCAAGCCTAGTCAAGTACTCCGTACATCGCATCATTATTGTCATCATCGTCATGATCCTCAGCCTCTTCAGCCTAACTTGTAACTTAACTCAAGGAACTCATGCACGCCTCTTACTCCTTTTTACATCCGTACCTAAAGAAAATGAACCATTCAGCCACTCTCTTTCCCCCCTACCGTACGGAATAGTCAGTTCCTGTTGCGACAATGGACATCGCACGGTTAGGCTAGAGTCTAGATAGGAGGTGGATGATGGCGTATCCATTTTCGACCCCCTTCCCCTCATTATTACCCAGAGAAAAAAAAATCCAAAATGGAGAAATACACCGCAATATTACCACTATGGGTTCTGCGGGCCGGGATATTATTGCTGTCAATACGGTACTACTGCCAATAATAAGATCTTCTCCCCTTCTGGTGGATTTCTAGAATTGATTTGCTGGGGAGTGCGCAGGGTTTGGGAGAGTAGGCCAGCGTGAAAGCAGAATAGAGACGGACAGAAGCAGACAGAAGGTCTCTGTTGCTAGTCGGTTGGCGCCTACGTAGTGCACATCAAGCCCAATGCACTGGGTGAAGGCGCATACAGCAGACCGGAAGCATGACGCCCATTGAACAAAGATCCAGACTGGGACAGAATCAAGAAGAATCCTCAGAAATTCTCCCCGACTACTCCGTACAGAGCAGCTTCCAAAGCGTCTGCACAAAATCGCATAGGATACGTCTCTCCTGAGTCCTGAATCCTTAATGGCGTGGGTGATTGCCTGCCTGCCAATCTGGCTGGTTTAGGTCGGTGGCTTGAGTGGTTCGGTGGGCCTCTCATCGTCATCCCTATTTCACTTCCGCCAATTGTCCAGCCCACTCTTTCACCACCCCAGTCAAGGTCATCATGAAGGGGGCCGACGATACACATAACAATTCATGAAGCGGGTACCGAAAAAAAAGAAAACAATAGGGGAGAAAAAAAGGGTGAAGATGGAGGAGCCGCCAGGTAGCAATCTGTGACCGATGTATTGGAAATATTGATTGATCTGGGCTCAAGGGGGTCTGCGTTTCTCTTTTTCTGGAACCTCGGGGAATAATAGTACTGATGGATCCGACTATTGGAGGGAAGCTATCCCATCTTTCATCCTATTAATATCCCTCAGGGATCGCTGGCAGTGGCAGGTCGGCGGCTCCTCGTCAAGCTTATCATCAGTGTTGGCCCGTTGCCTGTTGACAGGGACTCGAATGTAGCACATGATTGGTATTTAGGCCAAGAGTCTGTGTAGACACTAGAAGTGTGGAAAGTGAATCTGTAGATTTGACGTGAGGATACCACCAAGGGGGGAGGTGGGCAGGGACTGAGGAGATGGCAACAATCTTCATTCCATTCTCAGCCACCACCACCATCACCACCACCACCACAACAACAACAGCAGCAGCAGCACAGTCATGACGCGGGACCCGTTAGAGCTTGCCGGCGGCAGCTCACCTGACCACCAGCAACACAACACAAGTTAGTTATCGGGCCCGACCTGACGATGGCTGAGTCACCCGCTCTGGGTTGAACCCGCCCGCGACACCGGACCATCTCCCCATCCGCGGCCGACGCATCACATGATCGGCCAGTGCCGTGCCAACCACTTCCCATTCAATGTCGTCATTGGTCTCGACAGCAGTGGGAAGTTAGGTAATCCAGCACGAAAGTACCACCAGCCCAAAGTACTACAAGTACCTGAGCAAAGCTCGCCTCACGCTACATCGTCTCGTGTACCTTGTCTTGTCACTATCACCATCTGACACATCCTCCTCCAACCGATAACTTCCACCTTCTACCCTTCGAACCACCCCCTCCTCACTCCTCACATCCCCAACCACTTCCCGCTCAGCCCAACTCAATCACCATGCTCCGCCAATCTATCACCAAGCCTCTCACCAGCACTGTCATCAGCCGCTCCTTCTCTGCTCTTGCCCCCAGAATGGCTGCAGGTGATACCGGTGCTCCCCGCGCTGGCGGTGTTCAGTCCAGGTACGTTCAAAGCCAATCCCATCCAGCGCAAGCATCCCAATCCTCTCCACAACACTGCTCACAGATGACATCATCATCATCATCACCACCTCAACCACCAATTTCAAGACTAAGGCTAACCCGAATCCCAACGCAGTGACTCTTTCACCAAGCGTGAAGCCGCCCAGGAAGGCCGTTACATCCACGAGAAGGAATTGGAGAAGTACGTCCATCGACCAATTTTGTCCCCAAACCACAATCGCCTACCTCAATGCTGACCTAAAATCAACAGGTTCCAGAAGCTAAAAGCGAGCATCAAGGCACAGCGTGAACACCTTGACAAGCTCGACAAGCACATGTAAGGCTTCCAGCCCCTCTAAGAGAACTCGTCCACAAACCTTTAACTAACCTCGATTGTTCACATAGCGACGAGATCACCAAGGAGCAGGGCGGCGAGCAGAACTAGATTTGCGTGCACAGCACACTCACCAATACCCCCAACACCCTCTATAGCTTCGAAGTCGACCTCTCAGCTGGGTCTACTACATAAGCCTCTTGCTTCTTCTTTTTGTTTCGTTCCTATTATATCCCCGCGAACGTGTCACACCCCTCTCGCTATCCTTGCTTCGTAAATCGGAGCGATATTTAACGAATATGACTTGTATGTTGATGTGATGGTCATGCTTTTTCGATATTAGCATACGGTGTAGCTAGTTAGTCTACGCTGAGACGTTTACTACACGGAAGCATTTGATTCTTCGCTGTGTTCTATGTGTAAATCTATCATGATTATACCTACGGTCCCACGGTTCCGCTCAAGAACGCATAGATTATTTGAATCAATACCTATACCGCAGTACAAGGCATACGAAAGGACTTCTAGGTAGAATGATACTTTATTATTCTTCATTATCCATCCCATCCCAAGACAAATCCGACGCAACCACAGTCGCAAGTGCAAAACGAGTACTCCGGTAAAAAAGCATTTCTCAGTGGATACAAAACTGCAGAGTAAAAGCCTAGCGCAAACGTGAAGAAGCCCCCACCAGTAAGAAATCAAAACTCCACTGCATTATGTTTAGCGCCGTCCCATGTAAGACCGATAGAAATCATCCGCTGCGCTACCGCCCATCGTCGAGTTACCCAATCCTCCGTATCCGAATCGTGAGGACAGCGACTGACCCGCCCGCTGCGCCTTGGCGACCTTCTCGTGGAGCTCGGTGGTGCCCTGGTCAATCGTTTGAAGCTGCGCAAGGTGGGAGTTGAGGATGCGGACGATTTGAGAAATCTGTGATTTCGTGGATTAGTATCAGGGAAGAAGCATTACAAAAGAGTATCGAATGAATACGCACCGGCTCATCAGCCTTGCTTGTCTTGCTCAGAGTAGCAGAGGCAGTGTTGACTTCTTCAATCATGCTGGTAAGATCCTTGCCCATCTCGTCAAGGCGCTCCGAAAGTCGCTCAGCAGTCTTGTAACTGTAGTTGTTTTAAAATCAGTGGCTGATCAACTGGACGGAAGGAAGCAACTTACGTTCGCTCACGCTCTTGATCCGGTCCCTGGAGAGATTCACCAGGATTGAGCTGCTTGGACATCATCTCATCGACTTCACGCTCGTACCGGTCAAGCCACGAGCTCAATTCGTCCTGCTGTCCCTCGACGGAGGCGAGCTGGCGTTCCACTTCTTGTGTGGCCCGTTCGGCATCCACGGTATTACCATAAAGCTTCTGGACCTTGGTGCCATTCTCGACGAGCATGCGGTCCCATTCGGCAACTTTCTCGGCTTGTTCGCGGAAGTCCTTCTGGTACTTGGTAAGATCGGTAGCCCAGCGGGTGATAATCTCGTCCATAGTCTTGTTCTTTAGGCGGGACTGGGCGGGAGGGGTGGGGCCGGCCGTGGAGGCACCAAGGCCGCTGGCGCCTGTTGCAGGCATGGTAGTCGACGTCGCGGGCTTGTCGGTTGCGGTAGCTGCAGGTGTGGTAGCGGGTTGGGTGGAGGGTTGGGTCGCAGCGGGCTTGCTGAACAACCCGCCGGTAGCAGGGGCAGCGGATTGGGTGGTTGTTGGGGGAGCAGTAGCTGTGGTGCTTGGGGTCGTTGTGGTTGTGCTCGTCGCGGCAGCTCCGCCAAGGTTAAACAATCCGCCGCTAGGGGCAGCTGGGGTGGTAGAAGGGGTGGCTGATGAAGTCGCTCCGCCGAGTGTAGGGAATAGTGATTTTTGAGGAGTGAAAGAGGAAGTAGCGGGTGTGGTGGAGGATGTGGTGCCGGTAGTCGGGGTACCTAGCGAGGGAAAGGCTGGCTTTGTCGCATCGGCACCGCTCAGTGGCTTGAAAGCAGGGGCAGCACCTCCAGCCGGAGCGGCATTGCCAAAGAGAGATTTTGGGGCACTGTCATTGGTAGTAGTCGCGGGGGTTGTTGCTGTGGTTTCGGCAGGCTTGTCTTTGTTCGCGTTTCCAAAGAGACTACCGCCCGTGGTTGCCGAAGGGGCTGCGTTGAACAATGGCTTTTGAGCCGCATTTGACCCGAAAAGGCCGCCGCCAGTCGACTGCGGCTGTGTAGCGTTGGCATTACCGAACAACGAAGGAGCGGTGGTCGCCGCGGCGGTCGCCGCGGTGGTCGCAGAACTGGTGGTGCTTGTAGCAGCCGGGGCCGGGGCGGAGGGAGTTGGGTTCAAGCCCCCAAACAGAGAGTTGGCGGGCTTTTGTGCCTGCTGGGCTCCTCCGAAGAGAGAAGGCGCTTGGCCGGTAGTGGCAGGCGGGGGTCCAGCAGGCGTAGTGGACGAAGCACCTCCGAAGAGGCCTCCTCCCTGTTGCGCCGGGGTAGCTGTGGCATTGCCAAATAGAGGCTTGGGGGCGTTGTTCCCAAAAAGTCCACTGGTAGCAGTCTGTCCCGAGCTGGGGGTCTCGGTCGTTTTGTTTGGGGTGGAGGAAGCGTTAGAACCGAATAAGGGCGTCGACTGGCCCGTTGCTGCTGGCTTGCTCGCAGCGCCAAAACTGAAGGGTGAGGCGGTGCTGTTGGCAGCGGCAGCTCCAGCGTTACCGAAAAGAGGTGTAGATGAGCCGCTTGTCGTGGTAGCTCCTACATTGCCAAAGAGCCCACCGCCGCTGGGAGCACCAGAATTTGCGCCTCCGGCGGACCCAAAAAGACCACCTTTGGAAGCGCCGCTGGAGGCGTTGGAGTCGAAGGAGAACATACTCATGGCGATAGGGCCGGAAGTCAAGGGAAAGTGAGGGATATGGATTTGACAGGGCTACCCTAAAGGGGAAAAGAAAACAAAGTCAGTCTCGGACGGGGAAGTGAAGGAGATGAAAAGAGTCCGAACAGGCAGAGGGATACTGACTGCGCCCAAGAACGAGGTCACGGAAGCGCCCTCTAGAAAGCAAGAAGCGCAATTGATCGGACTGAGAGAGCGGAATCCGCGTGCTTGACAAGCAGAGACAAAATCAAGGTCAGCAGCGTTGTGGCAGTTGAAGCTGGGAATCTCCAGACTTTCTGCCGCTTCTACTCTTTGGGCGGCGGACAGGCGGCTGAAGGAAGCAACATCGGCGCTTGTGGCGGCTGGCGGTTAGGCCACAAGGCTCAGAATCAGGCATGAAAGAACAGCATGTCTTGCTGCCTCAGGCCACGGTCGAGACTCACATCGACCCCGACGATCACGGCTGAGACGACCTCATGCACCTTCGTCTGGCTATTACTCGCTCCCCCCCCAGTCCCCTTTGCCTCGTAATTTCTTACAACACGGACGACAGCATTTAGAAATACATGCTCTATTGTTGGAATCTGACTTGAACGCCCCGCTCCTCAAATGTCGGATCGGATCTCCCGTCCATCCAGTCCATACTTGGAGCCTCCAAGGAAGACCGTCGAGTTGGAAGACCCCGGTGCTCAGGACTCCGGTAAGCCTCTTTGCAAACCCACCATCCTCGCAATTTGGACTGGTCCCTGGTCGCGGGACCTTCTAACACTTCCTATGACATGATAGCCGCCAATAGCGACGATGAGCATTTCTCTGATGCCAGCGAGGGTCATCAACTCCCACCTTCCCGCCCCTCCTCCTCCGCCGGGCGCGCATCCCCTATCCCCTTAACACGAGTGGAACGAGTCGATGAGAATCCAGCACATGGCGAAGTCCCCGGCACGGCGGCATATGAGATTAGGACTCAAGACGCCGTTCCCGATCAAGTCCAAGTCGTCCCTGATGGGTCCCGCAGTCGGAGCACTTCGACATCCGGGCAGCAACCACGACCGATGACGCCCAGTTCTCCGATTCCCCGGACGGTGGTCGAGAAGGTGGATCTGAATCAACCGAGTCACGGGGACATACCTGGTACTCCGGCCTACGAACTAAGGAGAGCGGATGCAGTACCAGACGTTGTCGTGAAAGCATCCGAGTCGGATGCTGCGCCCATCCCCGAGTCCGTTTCCATTCTTACTGATACGCCGGTCCCCGAGACGCTGCTGTCTCAAGTCAACTCCCCTACAAACGACAAAGCACCATCGCCACAAGTATCATCAGATGACACCGAAGAATCACAACCACATGCTCATCGGGCAAAACCCAGTGACCCCCAGCCGGATCAAACGGAAACGGTCACCGCGGCGCCCCCAGGTAAGTCGGGTTTCTGTTAACCACCAGCATAAAATTTCAGGGACGATTGACCAATGCAGACTCGCCTGCAAGCCATCGAAGTCACACCCGCCGGAAATCATCAGTGACGGGCGAAGAGTTCGGGGAAGAAGAAACGCCTGGGGGTGGTGCAGACGACTTCGATGATTTCACCGAGGGGCAAGACGACATGGGAGACTTCGACGACGCGGACTTTGGGGACTTTGACGACGGCTTCCAGGAGCCGAGTGCAGCGGTCCCCGTGGATGTTGAAGTCTCGCAACCTCCCACGCCGCCCTCTGTTGTATGTGAAAGAGTCTTTTCGTCCTGGGCCTCCTTGCTAACGATTCCCTCAAGCCGACCCTCCTCGATCTAACCGCCTACCAAACAATCCCCGACCTCTACGCGGCGCTGGACGACCCTCTCGATCAACTCTTTCCCTCCACAACATCACCATTACCATCTTCGAAACCCGAACCCATCCCCAACGCCACCGCCATCTTCAGCACCGAACGCTCCCTCTCCCTCTGGTCCCAACTCGTCGCTCCCCCACCTCTTCAGCCTCAGAACTGGGTGAAATCCCGCATCCGCCGTCTCTTCCTCGTCTCACTCGGTGTCCCCGTCGACCTCGACGAGATCCTCCCCGCCTCGAAACAGAAGAAACTCGTCCTCCCCTCCCTCACCATCTCCTCCAGCACCTCCTCAACCGCCACGCCTAATACCGCCTCCCAAAACCCCGGCACCGCCACGCCAACCCACGCAAGCTCCCACTCCCGCTCCCAGAGCCTCGCCGCCAACGCCAACCGCAACAGCATCCAAAGTACCGCCGGCAGCCCCGGCGGAACGCCCCGCAGCACCGCCGCCCGTCGGAGACGGGAAGCCTCCCCACCACCCGAGCTCGATCTCTCGGCCGTCCGCCGCCTCTGCGCCACCACAGACGCGGCGCTCGGGGGCCTGACGGACGGGGAACTCAAGGGCCACGTCCAGGAATTGGAATGGGTCACGTTGCGGGCGAGTTCGGTGCTGGAATACTGGCTCAAACGGCTGGATGGGTTAGTAAGCGAGAAAGAGGCATTTGAAGGCGTGATTGAAAATCTCGTCAGTCATGCAAGGAGAGTGAGGAAGTAGTACGGAGTTGGAATAGTAGTAGTAGAGCACACCAAAATATCTCGCGGAAAAGAACCACCGGACAGATGATCTTTTATCTTATAGCTTATAATGAGGATGGGGCCGAAAAAAGTCAATTCCGGATGGATGCGGGAAAACCTTGAGGATACAAACGACGATCGGTTTGGGCTGGGGTGGGTGCAGTGGTTATTTGGAGCTCCGGGAAAATGGAGGAAGAAACAAAGTTCTAATTCTATTGGTAATGACATGATATATACCTGATGCATTCTTCCCTAATCAATTCTCTTTGTGTGGTGTGTGCCTTGGCTTAGTTTATCCGAAACAGACGGACGGGTTTATCTGGTTGAATTTGCTGGAATCATCATGGTTGGATTCGGTGGAAGTAGCACAGGTTGGTGGTTCAGTTATCACTTCGTGCGCAGGTGGAAGAATATGCAAAGTGCAAGTACTCAGAGACACATCGGATCTCAGCCGTACTGCCTACTTCATGTGATGGATAGCCGTTCACTCCAGCTGTTCAGGTGGACGCTGACTGATTTCATTTCGTCATACCAGAACAACTCCGAGGTGATACACATCCCGCCTGGTGGAGAAAAGATACGATAATTTGTTGCTTGGATGTAGAGTATTGGCACACTGTGCTCGGATACACATCCTAAGGATAATGCACCAAATGGACCGACGTAACCCATCATGTGGACTATGGTCTTCTGGAAGCGGAAGATGCACATAGCCTATGTAGGTTCACCCCTGGACCACTAGTTGAGAATGTCAGTGTGGAACCGGTGCATGGACGGAGTGTGTTACATACTACTAGTCAGAAAGGTACGAATTCAGAAACAGTTGAAACTGACTTTTTACTGGGGATATGTGTCTGTATTTACCGAAGAAAAAAAGCGCTATATCCACGGAATTGGCATCCTAATTCCATTCTCATCTAGAGGTATAAAATAGACATAGAGCAACAATAATTTCGGGGTATCGTGAAGAGAGAGCTCCTTTTGCTTAAACGCCGGGAGAAATAAACGAGAACAAAGAAGAAAGACGAAAAGAAACGAAGGAGACAAAAAGCACCGTTTTTGGGCAACACTTGACGTAATCATGAATTAACTTTAGATGGACGCCGTACTGAGTTCTCCGCCAGGGGAGTTCCTTGGAAGTCCAAATGATGCGCCGGAATTTCAATCGAGGTCAATCACTTCCGGGGTCGCGCTTACTGTCCGAATGGGCTGGGGTTTTGTCTCCGGTTGGACCATCTTTTGTCTCTTCGGGATAGGACTGTCCAGGCCCGTGGAGGAGCGTTTAGAGGTTGCAAGATCTGCTTCAGTGATCACAGTCCAGGAACCATCGAGAGTGACTCGAATGGCGCGGGCGTCGTCAAGTTGATTCGTGCGCACTAATTCCTCGTGCACGTCAACCATAAACTCGTCGCGTACCAACATCTGTGGACGAGCATCACCCTGACAGATCGGGCAGCGCCAGTCGTTGGGCAAGGCACGCGGCCCGGAGACCCCGGCCCGGGTTTGTATGAATGTCTCGTGGTCGAAACATTCGGAGTGAAGACAAAGCTGTCCACGAACAGGTTGCTTGAACACGCGAGCGGTAAAGGGGTCGACAAGATTGATCATAAGGTCGCTACTAACCACATGGAGGTCATCATCTTCGTTTTCATTGCGGGAGGACTGCTCAAGACGCTGGTGAATCTGGCGACGGGAGTCATCCGCTTGGAGAGTCTGCGCAAGGGCCATGACAGGCTCGATAGCGGCAATCTGGGCGATCTCCACGGCAGCGGCGTAAAGTTTGTCCTTCTGCTCGGCTGCATCGCGAATGAAGTGCAACGAGATTTTGTTCTCACCCGCGCGCAAATGAGGAGATATGTCTAGAGGTACATCCTTCTGATGATGTAATTTCCGACGTACAAAGAGTTCAGTGTCATTGACGAAGATATAGATCACGCTGGGCCAGGCGCAGTCAGCCCGACTCCAGGTAGATTCGTCGATCGGGGGTTTTGTGTCGGGCGAGACAGATATACAACGCATCCGATAGAGCTGCTGGCCGTCCATCAATACACGGACAGGGTGGGAAAGCTCGCCAGAACTCTTTTGCGAGGGAGCTGGAAGGCGATCCGCCGCCTCTTGTGATAGGGTGAAGGACCAGTGAAACTGGCATTCAAAGCGGCCCAGTGGTCTTGGCGTGAGTGCGAACGAATCTAGATACTGGAATAGCTTTGTCTCTTGAGCCTGGCCCGAAGAGTCCCTTCTGATTAGCTGGTGAACTGGTTCTCGAAGATGGACCTGATGTAACGCATCACGCAGAGGGTGTAATGGCGGAGCGTTGGCTGGCATTTTCTTTCCAGACGCAGGAAGGAGCAACGTAGACGTGGAAGGCTTAGATGGTGTTGGAGGAAGCGCCCTCGGCCGCGAGGTTTGACGCATTGCGAGTATAGCTTGCTGAGCAGCTTCGGCCTGTACAGACGGGCGACGAGGATGACCTGGACCTTGAACCGGCGTCACTGTGGGGACAGGAATAAAGCCTGGAGAAGGAACCGTGACAGACATGTGAGCCATGGTGGGTGTCAGGTTGGGTGTATGAGGATGCAAGACCGGGGCTGGCGCAGCGGAAACAGGTGAGGCCTGTGTGAATTGTGGGGAATGGCCGGCGAGAGGTGGGGTGGGCAGTGATAACACTCCCGGCGTGCGAGCCGAGTGAATGGGTCGGCCTGCCTGCGGGGGAGCTGAGGCAATGACGGGTTGAGGGCCAAAGACGGACGGCGGTGTGTGGGGCGGAGGGTAGCCCATATTGATGTGATACAGCGTTAGGATCGCATCGGTCTCCTTGCGCGCGCGCGAAATTGGAACCGATCTCTTCATGGCCTCAGCCAGACGGACCTCTGTCAGGGCAGCGTCGTGCCGAAAGATCTCGGAGAGACGTTCTTCCCGCTTGTTCGGACCCGAGATACGGCGCGTCAAGGCCAAGAAAATGGTATGATGCAGCACATGAGAGCGCAAGGCGAAATTTTGAACCAGCTCCTCAATCAGAGGTGGTAGGCCTCGCTCACGAATATGCGCCTCAAAGGCATTCCAGCGGTGGCCAAGCATGGCCAGGGCAGTCATGGCCTGGGAAAGAGCAGCCGTCCACCACGGCAGGTGCAACATATTGCAAATTGGCTCGGGAAAGCACGCGGCCCATTGAAGAAACTGCGGCGACAGACGTGCATTGTCAACCAGCAGCTGCTCCAGTGCCTTCAAGCCAGCAAGCTGGTCTTCGGACAAACCCTGCAGCTGCCCCAGTTCGGCGGGAGCATAAGATACTAGAGTGTATAATTGATGAATCACTAGATAAATGAGATCCTGACATGATAGGGCATCGTGCAGCAGACGCAGGCGGGCGTTCTCCAAAGTCACGGATGCGGAGGTCTTTCGTCCCGGGTGAGAGGCGAAAGCATCCAGCTTCTTTAAGCTGGCGGGAAAGTACGCGGAATTCCCATTGAGTTGAGGTGGATAGGTCAAAGGAACGTCCGGTATATGTATAGTACTGACTGGTTCATTTGCTGCGGTCGTTGCCGTGGTTGTTGCCGCAATGGTTGTTGCGGTTTTTGCACCAGCTCTGGGCCTGAGACGCCCTCGGGGTTCAATGGGTGGCCCCGGTGTGATAGGGGGCGTCATGGACGGGGCAATGGAGGGCGTAGGGCGCGACGAGGGAACAGGCGCTGCAGCCACATTCTGAAGCGGACTCGACCAAGGTTGAAGTTGGCGTAAGGACGTGGGATAGCTTGTCGCGGGAGGAGAAGGAACTGGTGCTGCTAAAGTTGATGGTGGGGTTTGTGGAGGAGGCGGAGGGAACGCTCTGGCGGAGGGAGAAGGGATCGACAGGCCAAGGGGACGTGGACGTGGCTGCGGATGTGGATGTGGATGTGGACGTGTGCGGGAAACATTCAAAGGTGGTGAAGCAACAGGAACAGCAACAGGAGGAGAGGCATTCATCCAGGCTGGTCGGGCGCCGCCTAGAAATATGTGGGCGGTGGAGTTGCTCGACTGTAACGCGGGTTGATTCGCGGATGACATGGTGCATGTTTTGTTGGCAGTCCTAGTTGTTGTTGTAGGATTCTGATCACATAGTACAGAGGATACATCAATCTCGATTACTTTTCTTTGTTTCCAATCGAAATAGAGAAGAAGCAGGACTGGAAAGGTAGAAAAGGAAGCCAAAGTAGTAGACTCGAGAGAAAGAAAAGGAGGGGAACGACTCAACCACCTTCGATCCCAGACAAACAAACAAAAGAAGACCACATGTGAATTCTCCCTCCAGAAACTATCTTAAACATCTGGCAGTGAAGATGAAACTAAATTGAATAGGAGTACGAGATTGACCTTGGGTAATTCACAACTAGCCGAGACGAAATGACAGACTGTGCCACACTAACTATGTAACTAACTACTGCTCTGGTGCAGTAGTACTGCGAGTAGTGAATAATAGTTCGTTCAAGCTTGACCAGGGTAGACTATGAGGTGTGTATACAGAGGTACTCCGTAAGATAACAGCCGAACATTCCCCGACCAGGTTGGGTTGGATACATCACAATGGGCTGAATGCGATCCATCATTACCCGAATGCAGGGCGTTGTTTCGGGCAGTGTCTTGACCTGTCAATTGGAGGTGAGCCAACTGTACGACTAGGAAGGAGACTTGGTTGATCCTGAAGCAGTGGTGGGGGGGGTTAATGGTTATCAAGAGAATATGGATTGTTGAATGGATGAATGGATGAATGCAGTCATTGAGGAAAGGGAAGGGGAAGGGAAGGAAGGGAAGGGGGAAGAAGCAAGTATATACTTCAACGGTATTTACTGTACATGTACATAGTTGTACATAGTTTGGAGATAACTTAACTTACTCGGGTTACTCGGCGGTATGAGCTTCTTCCTTCTTCCTCTCCACTCCTTCTCCTCCTCAAGAAAACAATTTAATTTATAATTATCACCGATTCCTAATCAGTGGACATCCAGATGGGACTTATGATACTGATACTCATAGTATCATCCCATCTAGATATCCTATACTAATTATAACCAAATTAATCTTAATTCTGCCCGACCAGCACAGAATTCGTTCCCCGCTCCGATTCGTGGTTCGTCCGTCTTGACGCTTGCCAATTCAAACCGTTCGCTTTCTGCTTCTCTTGCTTCTTCTGCTTCCTTTTCTCCTCCTCTCGGGCATTCTCTCTCTCTCTCTTCTTCTTTTCTTCTTCTTCTTCTCTGCGTTCCTCAATTTCACTCTCTTATTCTTACCTACCTATTTACCTACTACTTGCTTTGATCCATCAAAATCCTTCCGTCCAAACCCCCCTCTGTTTAGCTGCAATCAATCCCCTGGGCAAGGACCAACTGATCGACATCATTTTGCCCACTACTGCCATCATCCTGCATCATCGACTCCTCTCTCTGTCTGACTGGTTCTTTCAGTCCAGCTTAACTCTCCTTCCCTGCGCCAACAACTAGTACTCGAGTGCCTACCAGACCTATTTTCTGCTGTGTCTCTCTCCGTCTTTCCGTCCATATTTACTTCCTCCCTCCCGCACTCGCGATCCCTCCGTTCATTCTAGACCATCTTTGATCTGGGCGGCGGCCCCATGCCCGGCACTTGAGTCTCACTTTCTCCTCCTCCCCCCACCCTTCTCTCTCGGTCATTACGCCTCCCACTTCCCCCTCCCCCCCCAATGGCCCTCGCCGCCCCTCCCCGCGGTGTTATCCCCGGGGATCTCCTGCTCGTCGTCCGTAAGTATTTCCATTTTTATTTATGTTTATTTCTGTTACCTTGCTTGCGATAGCCTTGCTCACCTGCGCAGATGATTTCGACGCCCGCGGCCCCGACGAGCTGACCTTGCGACGCGGTGAGAAGATTGAATTGGTCGAGCTGGATGAGGGCTTTGGAGATGGCTGGTATCTGGGCAAGGACTTGACCACCGGTTCGACTGGTCTCTTTCCTGGAGGTAGGTTTTTTAAGGGTCCAATTTTGTCTACCTACAGCTGAGCAACCGAACACTAACAGTCAATTATCTAGTATACACCACTACCGCTCCAAAGATCCGCAGTCGCCCTCCTGCCGAGAGCACAACGCATACGACCTCCGAAAACTCGACAGACACCGATGGCGCTGCTCTTGACGCCGAACCGCTTCTCAGAAGCGGCGAATCCACCCCTCAAGTCTCGCGCCATACCAGCATCTCCGACCTACGCGCCCCCGAGGTGCCGCGGTCGCCCCCGCAACAGCAGCAGCCACAGCAACGTTCCGCCTCTTCCCCCTTGCCGGCTGCCAAGATGTCCCTTGAGATCCGCCAGGCACTGGAGGGGCAACATCGCAATGGCCAAGATAGCCCTGTCATGAATGAGACCCTCAGTGTGATAGATGAACACATCACCGATCTCAGTACGCCCCGGCATAGTGTGGCTGACCGAGAGCCTTCAGTTCTGAACGACTCCGCCAGCGAGTATAGCAGTCATCTCGATCACCGTCGCTCCTACATCAATGGTCATGAAACCGACGAGGAGGAAGAGCGGCAGCCACAGGAGGCCCAGGTTCGACGCTGGTCTCCTGCCTATACGGCCCGGCAGCTGCGCCAGCTAGGCATTGAGGACAAGCACTGTGACATCTTCGAGGAGCAAGAGATTAGTGGCGAAGTTTTACTCGATATGAACCAGGACTTTCTTTTTATGAAAGAGTTTGACTTTGGGGTTATGGGCCGTCGTTTGAAAACCTGGCACAAGATTCGCACCTTCCAAGACCAGGTCAAAGTTGGCCACAAGCAGCCATCGCCGGCAGTGTCACCAACTCTGCCGCGCAGCTCGCTGGCGGCAGTTCCTAGCTCACCTGAGCGCACACGCAGCCGAACTGGACAGACTGCGCCTTTGCTACCGCGCATCCCGACTTTGCGCACGTCGAACACGCCCCATCCTCGACTGGTCAGCAACGCCGTCCCCAGTACCAGCAGCGGCTCACCGATCCCACCGCAAAGCTCATCATTCATGGATCATTCGCGTCGCCCGTCTGCTGCGTCCGTGCGAGAAATCAATCATTCGCGTCGACACTCGTCTATAGATGCGACGACTCGCTACTCGGGAGTCGTCGATGGCTCACCAGGACCCACACAGCGCGGCTCCTTTGACCGTGCCTGGTCGTTGTCGACGGGACCCCAGCAACGCCTTCCCACGCGGCCGGGCACATCGGCCGGGACCTCGACGGGCACTTCTCCAGCATTAGAGACGGGGCTCGTACATACTGGTTTCCACCATCCAACCCAGTCGAATGGCTCAGACACGGCAGGTGCAACGCCCGATGACCTTGATCGCGGTTATTTCTCTGGCCCCGAGGGGGACACCCGCAAACGACGACTGTTGCAGAAACGGCAATCCGCCGCCGGCAGTGCCGATGCGCGCATTTCACCGGTCCCCGGGGAGCCCCTTCGAGTTGCGAAGCGGCATTCACGTATCAGTAGCATGGACTCGATTCGAGAAAAGGCCACGCAGCCTATTGCTCCGCCTAACAAGTCTTACACGACTCCTGCGCCGAAGGGACGACTTCGTAGTCTCAGTACCCGTCTGGTCGAACGGCGAACACCACAATCGGCCCCCGTTTCCGCGATTGAGGACCGTTCTGGAGGATCTAGTCTGTTCGGTCCGCTGTTCGGTGGGAAGTCGGAGAGCGACACACCCCGTTCGTCTCAGCAATCAACTAAGATTGGTGGCCCGAAGTTCCGTCGCGCCGTTGGCCTCCGAGCCATGTCGGATGTGGTGAGCAAGAACGTTGATACAACCGCTGCGCCGCCGTCCCCAGTTCAGGATCGAGATCCTGCTCCGCCTCGGACTGGTTCCACGACCCCTTCGACCACGAAAAGTTCCGAACGGTTGAGTACGGACGGCTCCGGTAAGGCAACGGAGGGTGGTCTGTGGCCCCGCTCCCGCCCGTCCGTCAGGACTGGCCCCAAGTCAAAGAAAGACACCAGTGCCTACATGCGTGGGTTGGAGAAGAAGTCTCCGCAGGAGCAGATGGCAGGGTGCGACTACGTTGGCTGGATGAAAAAGAAGTCTCCGAACCTGATTACCACCTGGAAGCCACGGCTATTCGTGCTGCGGGGTCGCCGATTGTCGTATTATTATTCAGAACAAGATACAGAGGAACGAGGGTTGATTGACATCACTGCGCATCGCGTGCTACGCGCCGATCACGATCCTATGGTCGCGCTGCATGCCACAATTACCGGCTCCACCGGGTCGCCAACCGCTCCTGCCCCTTCGGTTCAATTGGCCGACGGGACTTCATCGTCCGATCCCATTCCAAGCATTGAAGCACCCCGAGCTAGCAAGTCCGGAAGTGAGGGCCCGTTCTTCTTCAAGCTGGTACCGCCCAAGTCGGGCTCTTCGCGTACAGTGCAGTTCACGAAGCCGGCAGTTCACTATTTCCAGGTCGACAATGTGCAGGAAGGTCGACGCTGGATGGCTGCGTTGATGAAGGCGACTATTGAGCGGGACATGGACTTGCCAGTGGAGACAACGAATAAGCAGCGTACTATCAGTCTTAAGGAGGCGCAGTTGATGAACCAGCGGCCTCCGGCGTTGATGGTGGGAGCGGCAGCTGGAGCACCAGAGGGTGCGGCGCCCGAGGCGATGGATAAAGAGGATGCGTCTTTGAATGCATCATCGGAGACCACCGACGCGGAGACAGCCGCTGAATCGTTTGAAACACCCGAGGAACGAGGCTTGATGATCAAAGGGCTCAATTTGGACGGCGAGCCTGCCAGCAGCGACGGCAATGAGGATGGTTCCAGACTCTCGAAACCTTTAGAAGTTGACACTGGCCCTGCGTCTCTACTTCCGGATTCGATTCAAAGCTCGCAGTGATGTCGCATGGGGTTTATATTTTTCCATTCTTCCATTCTTCCCTCACATTCTTTTAATATCTTCTTGTAGTGATGACGGCGAGCTCGCTTGGCGTTGATGTGATATACCCATTGGAATTTCTTTCAAAGCGGACTTGGATGATCCGCGAAGACTTGTGTTGAGTCGATAGCTTGATTGGATACTGGATTGAATGAGTTGTTGTATGGTTTCCTTTTTTGAAGCTCTGCATTGTCTACGAACCCTGATTCACATGTTGCCTTTCGTAGAAGCATGGTTAATGAAACGATAGTTGGACTATTTCCAACTACAGCCTACTAGATCTGTAGTCAATCACCCGGTCACACTTTCTTACCTTCTTCGTCTCCAGGTCACACTTTCTTACCTTCTTCGTCTCCAAGCTTAGAATGAGCACTGCCTACTGTATTTACATACCCCTGGACCCGAAAAGAAGTCAACTGATAACGGCGATAGCGTGAGGATCGGCGGGCCGAGACGCGCAGGCCCATTTATTTCCCGCCGCATCGACCAACTTTCCAACAACCTCACGCCCCTCCGGATAATGATGACTGTCCCTGATGCTTCTGTCTTTCAACCACACTCCTTTACTCTATTTTAATGTCCCTCCAATCCCTTCTTTGCCGTCTTTTGGTGCTGCTCGTCCCGCTGGCCGTGACGAGCAGCCTGTATCTGTATCTGTATCCCGTCGTCCACGGGTGCGCCTTTCCTCTGCCGCAGCATGACTCTCACTCTTTCTCGGATGCCTTTCTGGCCACTGTGCGACAGCACTTGCCCATAGACGCTGAGCCCGCACCAGCAGCGCCATTCCGTCTTCTCGTCCTTGCAGACCCTCAACTAGAGGGAGACAGCTCGCTACCTAAGGCAGAGGATGAGCTGCCAGCGCGTCTGCGACTCCACTGGGGGCGGATACGGGCTGCCCTGACCTCTCCAGCTCTTCCTCTAAACTCGAGCTCGGCCACTGATGCTGAGTCTACGTCGGATGCTACCTCCAGCAACGCTTCAGAGCCAGACCCCAAACCCATTCCCAACCCCGACCTCAACACCCGCGCAAACCAATCGACCCCGTTCAGAATCAATCTCCCCGCCACGCAACAAGCCATAACCAGCGCCCTGCACTCCCTCCTCCACACCGACCTCCCCCGCGCCCTCAAAGCCGCGCGCAAACGCCTCGACCTCCTGGGTAACGATTACTACCTCGCGCACATCTACCGCACCCTCCACTGGTGGACGCAGCCCACGCACGTCACGGTCCTCGGCGATCTAATCGGGAGTCAATGGGTCAGCGATGAGGAATTCCAGCGCCGAGGCCACCGATACTGGGAGCGAGTGTTCCAGGGTGGTGTGCGGGGGGACTCGTTCATCCCTTCCGCCCCCCCTGCCGACACCGATGACAGCAACGACAACGACTTCGCCCTCAACCCCACCACCCAACCCTCCCGATGGACCAACCGCCTCCTCAACATCGTCGGCAACCACGACATCGGATACGCGGGGGACGCCAGCGCCGCGCGCATCGCCCGCTTCGAAGAGACCTTCGGCAAAGTCAACTGGGACGTGAAATTTTGGCTCAACACATCCTCCACCTCAACCTCAGCCTCAAACCACGATGCAACCCCACAAATCCACATCATCAACCTCAACTCCCTCACCCTCGACACCCCCGCCCACAGCCGGGACATCCAGTCCGCCTCTTACGACTACCTCAACGCCCTCATCGCCGACCGTCTCGCGCCGGTCACCGACCGCTCCACGTTCACGTTGCTGTTGACGCATCTCCCGCTGCACAAGCGGGCGGGCGTCTGCGTGGACGCGCCGCATTTCAAGTTCTTCGAGGAGGATGATGATTCCCCCACTGGGGAGGAGAAAAGGTGGTTTGCCGGTGGGCTGCGCGAGCAGAATCATCTGAGTGAGTGGGTGAGTGGGAATGGGGTGTTGGAGGGGGTGTTTGGGATGAGTGGGGATGGCGCGGTGGAAGGTAGTGGATGGGGGAGGAAGGGATTGGTGTTGACGGGGCATGATCATGAGGGGTGCGATGTTTTGCATTTTGTGAGGTGGGGTGGGGGTTTGGACTCGGTCTTGAAAGATGATGGCGAGGGTGAGGGTGAAGGGAAGGGTGAGGATGGCGGTGAGCACGAAGGCGAGGACAAAGGCAAAGGCAAACAGGAAACTGAAGATGCTGCTGCTGCTGCAGACGCAGATTCCGAGCAGAGGGACTGGCAATGGGACGCCGAACGCTACTCCTCCGCGCAGGAGGCCGCTACTACTACTACTACTACTACTACTACTACTACTACTTCTACGTCAACGCCCTCCATCCGCGAGGTCACTATGCGCTCGATGATGGGTGCGTATGGCGGGTACGCGGGCTTGCTGTCCGTGTGGTTTGACATGGACAAGCAGGAGTGGGAGTATGAGATCCAGATGTGCGCGGCCGGGGTGCAGCACATCTGGTGGGCGGTACATGTGGTGGATCTGGTGACGCTCGGCGTTGTGGTGGTGGTAGCAGTCCTACTCCTTTTGACAGCGGTGCGGTCAAAGAAGCCCCAGGATCGGGAAAATGGTGTAAAAAGTCGGCCGCAAAAGGTCGACTTGAAACTGTAACTATAGCAGGGGGATCTGCACACACACATCTATATAAATCTTAGACATCAGGTATAACAAGCACATCAGGTATAACCTGCAAGCATAAAATCCATGATAATATTTACCATCATCAAAGACCATTGAACCCTGCACAAATTCAGTGGACGTTCACATGCCACGCGGACATGGTACGTGAGCTCAACAAGTGCTGGTACAGGAAACATGGGAAGGAACTATTGTGATACGACGGACAACCACCTTTACAGTTACAACAAGAGAGAATATAACTTTTTTATGAATTCATTTTCATTTTATTCGAGGTCATAGATTTGAATTGGCAACCCCCACCCATGATTCCGAGCTTTGGTATCAGTTCCCCAAATCCGCTTTGTCACACACCCGCAAGATAATTCAAGGCTTTTTTTACATGACAACACCGGAGTTGGAGGCGATACGCTGTGAAGGAAGCAGCCCCGTTAGTAATCTTCCAATGTTGTGTGTGGAGGGAAAAGAGGGGGGAAACGTACAGGCCAAAGCTCAGCGGCCTCCTTACCAACGGGACCGGTGATGGCAGAGCCCTTCATCTCACCCTTGGCGTTGACGATCTAACCAAGAAAATTAGTTTGTGCCGGAACGACTTATTTCGGAAAAAAACTTACAACACCAGCGTTGTCCTCGAAGTAAAGGTAGATACCATCAGCGCGGCGCCAGGGCTTGCTCTGGCGGACGACAACGGCGGGCATGACCTTCTTACGGAGCTCAGGCTTTCCCTTCTTGACGGTGGCCATGACCATGTCACCGACACCGGCAGCGGGGAGACGGTTCAGGCGAGCACCGATACCCTTGACGGAGATGATGTAAAGGTTGCGGGCACCGGAGTTGTCGCAGCAGTTCATCACGGCGCCACTGTTTGCGACTGTTAGTCTTTCGATCGATTTTCATGTCGTTGATCTCGATGGCGGGAATTTGTTCAAGTGGTGGGTAGAACAATGGTCGATTGGATCGATGTTCATCAGGGATGGGAGCATTCGATGCACACGTACCAAGGAAGACCAAGGGTCATCTTGAGCTTGTTGCCGGAGGGACGCCTGTGGAAGAGATGAACATGGTCAGCTTTCGTTGTTGTCGATGTAGTAGTAGTACTGAGTATATCAAAGTTCCCTTCAGTTCGCATCTCTTTTCCTCAACACCCGGAGAAGAAAAATTGCATCCTCAAGATCCATTCGTAATAGCGTTGACCATTCAATGCCGAAAACCGTCGTAAAAAGGATATCGAAAGATTTTCGTCGTGAAGTTTTCTCGTCGAGAACACTCAATCTATCCTCGGAAGAACAGAGAGAGAGAGAGAGAGAGAGAGAGAGAGAGAGAGAGAGAGAAACTCCCAAGTGTCGTTGAAGTCCGTATGAAAGGGCGCTTTTCGAATCGTTTCCCAACTCTTCATGTTTCCCGGTCTGTTCCCTCGACTGCTCGATCCTCTTTCCTTCTCCTTGTTGACCAAGGTGCAGGAAAAAGCCTCTCGAGCGCCAACATCCCAGTAATCGACGGCACCGGTGCGAAAATTTGTCGTTCTCCGATTTCCCGTGTCCCAGATCACTCAGAAGTTCCACCTCTTGCGATGCAATTTTTCCTCCCTCTCTCCCCTTTGCCTTCTCCTCCAATACCTCATTTCCTTCATTGAACGAAAACGGGGACGGTCAACTCACGGTCTCTGAGACATCTTGGCTGCTGTGTATCTCTAAACACGGGGGTTGTCGGGAGAGATGGAGAATTGGGCGATGGACACAACGACAACAAGGTCGAACTCGAGCTTCGTTCTCTCAGCGGGCGGGCGTCGGGGGGGTCGCACGGCGGGCGTGTGGGCGGTCGGGGCGGTCGGTCGAATCCTCGCTTAGTGGGCGCGCAAATTCAGTGGGCGAAATCTTGGCGGAGAGAATCTGATTGGTCGAGGCGGGAAATGCCCTAGGGCTAGTCTCCTAGGCTGAGTAGAGGTCATGTGATCCTGTGATCCAGTCACGTGCCCTGTGACTATAGCTAGGGCAAAGATGTACTGTAGATAGATCGGACTGCATGCTAAGAAAAGAGGTACTTTATGAGTGTCCTCCAGCTGCTTCGCAAAGTAGTGGCTGAGTGATTCGCTCAGTCGATACAAATTCATGGCACTTATTTCTCGTATATTTGCATTGGCCGCCGTTCGCCTCCACCACTTTACAAGAGCACATAGGTAGGTGGCTTTCGTCGAGCAACCGACTGTTACTTTCAAAACACATGAACATCCTATATCATCATGCATTCGCCTAGTACATACATCTAAGAAAGAGTAAAAAAACAGAAGCAATAATCAGACCAGAGATATATGTCGGAATTAATTCCCATGCAAAGATCGCACCCAGAAACACCATTACTGCCCGTCCCTTGCGCCAGCAACCCCCGCGAATACAGGAGCCCCTTAGTCCTCACTCTTCGTGGGCTCGTCAGGCTGCGTTGCCTTCGTAGCCTCCTTGGCTCCGTCACTCGTCTCCGACTCGGCCTTAGGAACAGTCGAGTCGCTCTTTGGAGCCTCGGGGCTCTTTTCCTTCGGTTCGCTGGCTTCGGCTGACGCAGCCGCTGACTTGGCGTTTGCGACCTCGGTGGTCTCGGGTTGCTGGGTCGTCTCTGTCGAGGCTGACTGGCTCTTGGCAGGCGCTGATGAGCCCTCAGGTGCGGTGTTCTCAAAGGCAGAAATCTCTGCGCTAGGCTTCTTATCCTCGCCCTTGTTCTCTGCTTCGGCGGCGGCCGGTGCGCTCTCAGCCTGCTCCGGCCCAGGCGCCTCATCTCCCGCGTCCTCCATTGTCGTATCTTCATCCTGGGGTTTGGGAGATGGTTGGCGAGAGATGGGCGCTGAGGGAGCAGCTTGGTCCCCGAGTCCATCATGTGCCAGTTCCATGGCATCTGCACCCGTTGCCGCCTCAGCTCTGGCCGGCAGGTCAGCGGCCGCGGGCGTACCCTGTGCCCCAGTCAATGGCTCTGGAGCTTCCGTCATCTTCGTATCGGCGGTCAGGTCCATGTCGTCGTCGGGGATTGAGGAAGCGTCGACGGGGGTGGCCATGCCGCTCTCCGGGCCCGAATCAGCAACGTCCAGATTCCGATAGTTAACCTGGTTTCTGCGCTTCATCGACTGGGGCTTGCGGTGCACACCATTAGCCGCAGCTTCATCCTCATCTTCACTGTCACTGAGCTCGCCGGGCTTTTCGATGTACTGGTCAAAGCGTCGCTTCGTGTAGCGCTTGTCCTTGTTCTCATCTTCGTCCAGATCATCCAGAATCGCATCCGCTTCGTCGTCCATGCCGTCCACAAGAGACTCCCGGGGTACATCAGTCATTTGCACGGAAGGCGCAAAGGCGGTGCGCTTGAGATTCTCCACAACTTGCGTCCGGATTTTGTCGAGGTATTCTTTCGTGTTGGCATTGTCCATGTTAGAGGGCCGCACATCCAATTCGTAGTCGGGAGCAAAGTACTGCACTTGTTAGTCAAGTTAACCAAAATTCGCACGTTCGATCTTACCTCGTAATAGTCGTTATAGGGAAGCTCCGCGGTTAAGTTGTCCCCCACAAGGATACCGGTCTCAAACGCCCAGGTTCGAGCAACGTTACGCATCGTGTAACCACCACCGCCAAGAATTAGAGTGGGCAGGTTGAAGCTCTTGATAAAGTTCACGCAGTTGGCGTGGCCGCGCATACTGAGGTTAAAGCACCCCAGACGATCACCTGAGAGACTGTCACCTCCGCACTGCAGTACCACGGCTTCGGGCCGGTACCATTCCATCACGCTCTTGATAACAGGCTCGAAAATGCTCTTGTAAGAAGTATCGTCGATACCGTCACGAAGGGGGAAGTTGACAGCGTAGTGCTTGCCCTGGCCCACGCCGATATCGCGGAGCTCACCGGTTCCCGGGAAATATTCACCATACTTGTGGAAAGAGACTGTCATGACACGATCGGTAGTATAGAACGCTTCCTCGACACCGTCTCCATGATGAACATCGATATCAACATAGAGCACTCGCTGCTTGAAACGCAGCAGCTCCAAGATGCCAAGAACAATATCTATCACCCAGTCAGTAAGCGTCAAGATTGAACCCAATATACTTTCTTTGGCTCACCATTCACGTAGCAAAAACCACTAGCTTCGCTCTTCTTGGCGTGGTGAAGACCACCAGCCCAGTTGACCGCGATATCGCACTTGTTCCTGTTCAACCGTGCCGCACCCTCCATACTACCTCCCGCGCTGATACCGCAGAATTCAAAGAGCCCGTCGAAGACAGGGCAGTCGTCACCGACATTGTACTTGCTCTGTTCTTTGGCAAAGGAGTCCATATTATCCGGAGTCACCTTGGAAAGGAAATCGATGTATTCATCGGTGTGGAACTGGGTCATTTCGTATTTGGAGGCCGGTTTCGCACGCTGTGGCGATCTTACGGTTAGCACCTCCGCAAACACCAGAGGACTGCCAGCTAGACTCACGTAGATTTCCATCTTCTTGTAAAGACCATAGTTCATGACAAGACTGTGCGTCATCCTTATGCGATGAGGCTTCATGGGGTGACCCGACACATAGGCATAGTTTCCGACGTCCGAGTCGTAGAAGTAAGCGACCTTCTTACCGCGGTCCCCCGACCCGTTGGTGATAGGGTCCAAAGGAGGCAAGGAAGTCGACATGTTGGAGGGAAACGTGTAAGTACACGAGACGGATCCTCACGCAGTTTAGGAGTTGGGGGATTCTATGGATTATGCGCGGTGTTTTCTCGGTCTGATCACAACGGGGCTGAATGGGAGAAAAAGGAAGGGAATGGAATTCAGACCAAGGCAAGAAGCCAAGTCTGAGTGACAGAAGGTATCCCCTCGTCAATCAACCAAGCAAGTTGATTGTGGTAGCGGGATTGGAACAAGGAAGAGGCATTCCCAATCAGGCGGGCGAACGATAACTTAAAAGATGGGGAACGGGAACAAGAGAGGGAAGGGAAGGAGAGACGCAAAGGCGGGAACCCCGAGCTGCTCCACCGCCTTCGTCAGGCTTCTTGGAAGCTCGACCGATGGCTTCACGCTTGAGTTGCGCCGCTCACCACTCATCTTCCCGTCAACTCCCCGCTGCTCACTCTTGCCTCCCTAGAACCATTTAGATCTCATTTACGACCCCGTCATTTCAAGCGATTTACTCCGCGCTTCTCTGCAGCTCCAAACCCCCTTCGATCCATCCGTTTCCTCTTTCCTGTTGGAGCTTCCGCCCAGGAAGACATCCGGTGTCGTCTTTCCATCCAACTTACCTCAACTCACATCACCTCATCAATCATGGATCGTCTCAATAGAATGCTGCAGGCTGCCCAGGGCATGGGCATGGGCGGAGGAGCTCCTGGTGGCGTAAGTCCCACAACTCCGATTGCTTGCTGTTTCTATCCAAGGCTATCATGCCGCCCTCCGCCAGGCGGCGGAATCGCCAATCAACGCTGCAGCAATACTTCGACAGTAATAGCTAAATATACCTAATCTAGGATACTCCCAACCTGATCGATAACTCCGAAACCGTTCACATCTCGTCGCTCGCTCTGTTGAAGATGTTAAGGCATGGTCGGGCAGGTGTTCCTATGGAAGTCATGGGTCTCATGCTCGGTGAATTCGTTGATGAATACACGGTTCGGGTAGTTGATGTCTTTGCTATGCCTCAGAGTGGTACGGGTGTCAGTGTCGAGGCGGTGGATCCTGTCTTCCAGACCAAGATGATGGACATGCTGCGGCAAACTGGACGGTAAGACGAGACTCGAACCGGCTCCCCGGCTTCAACTTCAACTGACCATCTGTTGCGTATAGGCCCGAAACCGTCGTTGGCTGGTACCACTCCCACCCTGGTTTCGGTTGTTGGCTTTCGTCCGTCGATATCAACACCCAGCAATCATTCGAGCAGCTTACCCCCCGTGCCGTGGCCGTTGTCGTTGATCCCATCCAGTCCGTGAAGGGCAAGGTCGTCATCGACGCTTTCCGTCTCATCCAACCTCAGACCGTCGTCATGGGCCAGGAGCCCCGTCAGACCACCTCCAACCTCGGTCACCTGAACAAGCCTTCCATCCAGGCCCTGATTCACGGCCTCAACCGACACTACTACAGCATTGCGATCAACTACCGCAAGACGGGTCTGGAAGAGAACATGCTGATGAACTTGCACAAGCACGTCTGGACGGAGGCACTGCAGATGAAGGACTTCCACGACGAGGGCGAGCACAACGTGGAGCGCATGAAGCAGCTCGTCAGCCTGGCTGAGGGCTATGAGAAGCGGGTCAAGGAGGAGACGGAGTTGAGTAAGGACCAGCTCAAGACGAGATATGTTGGAAAGGTCGACCCGAAGAAGCGTAAGCTATATGCAGTACTCCCGTCTTGTCGGATCAGGACTAACCCCATATTACAGACATCGAAGACGTCAGTCAGCAGCTGATCGAGGATAATATCGTCGCTGTCTCCCGACAGATGATCGATAAGGAGGCGTCCGTGGCACGGCAATCCAATGGAGCCGAGTCTCAGAACGGCGCTGGTATGGAAGTGGACGAAGAGCTCTAAGCATGTATTAAGCTTCTGATCAACGTATAATATCTGTCTCTGAATGCATACCACGAGTGAAAGCGATTTCCTTCTTACTGGACAGGTTTCATGTGCGGAGACGGACGATAGAGTCTTGAGTTTTGGCAGTTACCAGCTACGAATGATGTCAACGTTACAGTGGCGATCTGAGTCGTGTGAACGCCAGGGAAAGAAACTCATTGCAGAATGACTTCAATTCGTAAACCATGCGTAAACCATGAAATCGCTAACCAATCTAAAAATATCTAATCTATGATGCGAAGAATGTCTGTATATGTTGAGCACATCCCACAGCATCAATCCGCCTCGTCCGAGCCGGCGTATATCGTACAGTATATATGCGTGTGTGTGTATATGTATAAATAATCGTCTCTCGTCACGATTCGACAACCGTAGCCGTCTCCGGCATGAGCGTCTCCGGTACAAAGCCCGCCGGCATCATGGCCTTCAAGCGGGCGAGCTGCTGTGCCCGGTGTTCCTCCGCTTTTGCTTCCTGGGCCTTAAGACCGTAGGCGTCCTCGTCGAACTCCTCGCCGTCGTAATCCGTCCACCCGCGGTCGGGGCCCCAGGCGATCTTCTTCCGCGCCGCGCGCGCCTCGTGCAGCAGCCGCTTCATCAGGCCGCCGCTCTTGCGCACGGAGGGCCAGGCGTCGAACTCGACGTACTCGAGATTGGGCAGCCGGGCGAGGACCTCGTGCAGGATGTTGCCGGAGAAGTTGGTGTAGAAGTCGCGGGAGATGCGGAAGCCCTCGAAAACCGGGTGGGAGGGGTCGACCTCCAGGAACACCTTCAAAGTGCGGATGCGGACCATCTCCTCCAGCCCCAGGGACGGGGTGACGCGCCACGCGGTCGGGGGGTCGGTCCAGCTGGAGCCCAGGATCAGCTCGATGGTGGCGATGGAGGGCCGGTACTGCGACGCGATCGCCCGCACCGTCGGCATCTTCGAGTAATCCTGCAGGTGGAACAGGCGGAACACCTGCGTCGAGTAGAAGTAGTCGGCGGCTTCGTCGTGCAGGCGCCGCGACGCCAGGAAGAGCGCGATCCGGTGCGACGCTGGGGCGAGCGGCGGGTTCTTCTTCGATGATGCCCCGACGCTGCCCGCCGCGCGCACCGTCCGCCGCCGCTTCGGCGTGAACAGCACGTAGTGGTAGACGCGCAGCCGGATCTCCGAGGGTAGGTCGAAGAAGCGGAAGGGCTCGATCGCCGCTTTGCCTTTCTTCCGTTGCGGGCGCAGGTTCTTGGAGCCCTTACTGGGCGGTGGTGCACCGCCGCTCAGGTTTAGTTTCTCCAGGTCTCGGGAGAGGGACGCGGTCATCTTGTCTCGGAGGACACCAATCGATATATGTATGTGGTCGGGTTTTTGTGTTCTAAGGTTTGCGGCCGAAAACAATGGGAAAGTTTATGCGGCACGATACGAACAATAAAAGGCAGAGATCTTGTTTTAACCGAGATAATGCAAGCTTCGGTCATCCATCGCTACTTTGGGGATGTCATGACCCGGGATGGGAGCGGATGCAAATGGATCGAATCGCTGACAACAACTACTTAGCCGAGGAGGCGAAATCAAGAGAATTATATCCCACTAACGGGGCTGCAGCTGCAGAGGAGACCTTTGCTGCGGCTCTTGGGTGTGGGATTGAAGCAGAACTTCATTGGTCTCCCCAGCTAATACAACCCGGCATGCATATAATTGGCACGAAGGGTCAAATTTGTGGACTGGGTTTCAACTTTCATTTGGTTAAAGAAAAAAAGAAAAAACAGAGAGGGATTGGCAGGAGACGGAGGATTTTATATGAGGAGATAAACTGCGTTGAAGGATTCTGTCGCCAACCGGAGCAGTGCTGGTCCGTGCCTTGAACTTTTTTGCAGTGACGGAGAGAGTGAGAGAGAGAGAGCTTGCCAGTGCAAGTGCAAGTGCAAGTGTTAGTTAGCGTCCGTCTTCTCCGCCGCCGACCTCTGCCGATTTTCCCAAACTCGACCAGACACTCTGGATCATCGATTCTTGACCCTGCCATTCTCCTCATCCCACATTGGTCTTTCTGTTACCTGCCGTGTGCTGTGTGCTCCGCGGTGCATGTGTAAACTGTCTATCACCATCTGCATTTCTAAAATCCTTGATCGATTCTCCTCCCCCATCCATCCATAATGCTTAGCCGGGCCGTACTGCCTCTGACGAGGCCTAATATCCTCGCTTCAACTGTCCGTGCTTCTACAGTCACAGTCCCTCACTCGCGCTGGTATGCGAAGAACAGCAAACCCAAATCTTCCTACAACCTTCCCGACTCCATCAAGGCGTCGCAGTCCAAGCAGCCCTCTCAGGCTCCGGCTCCCAAGCAAGAAGACAAGCAAGCAGACTATGCCGCAGAGCAGGCCGAATTTGATACCAAGGCCGACCCGCAGAGCAATGCCTCTTCCCAACAGACCTCCGTGAGTTGCGCTGCATCCTATTGATATTTAAGCCCGTTCAGCTGACCAGTGTGGCTCCACTAGCCTGAATCACACGCACCCGAAGAAAAGGAACTCCCTCGCCAGCCCCTCCCCGACCTTACCCAGGGTATCCCCTCCACCCTCGCGGCCGAGTTGGAAGCTCGCCAGACCGGTCGCCCATCTACCACTCTGAACCTCACCGAGGATCCCTCCCGCGCCGAAGACTACGCCGAAGATGAGGGTCGCGGCGATAAATCCAAAGACCACTATACTTCCTCCCTCGACCGCAAGCGCGCCCGCATGGCCAACCTGTTCTCGGCGTTGTTCTTGCTAGCCGGTGCTGGTGGAGTGGCTTACCTGGGTCGGAACTGGGAGAACGAGTTGGAAGAGAAGGCTCACCCCGAGACTCCGTCCGGCTGGGGTCTAGGACTGTGGTATAACCGCGCCAAGGCCCGTCTCGGTGACATCACCAGCTACTACAAGGACCCGGCCTTCCCCAAGTTGCTACCGGACGAGGACCCCAACATGCGCCAGCCCTACACTCTGGTGCTGAGTCTGGAGGACCTGCTGGTGCACAGCGAGTGGAGCCGCGAACATGGCTGGCGTGTGGCCAAGCGACCCGGTGTCGACTACTTCCTCCGGTATCTGAACCAGTACTACGAGCTTGTCCTGTTCACCAGCGTGCCCAGCATGATGGCCGATCAGGTGCTCCGGAAGCTCGACCCCTACCGCATCATCCGCTGGCCCCTGTTCCGAGAGGCCACCAGATATAAGGACGGTGAATACATCAAGGTATGACGCGATTGACTCTAGCCGGCTGTTTCCCCATCCACGTCACTAATATGGGCTACATAGGATCTGTCTTACCTGAACCGTGATCTCTCCAAGGTCATCCTTCTTGACACCAAGGAGGAACACGCTCGCCTGCAGCCCGAGAACGCTATCGTCCTTGACAAGTGGCGTGGCGACCCCAAGGATAAGACCCTGGTCGCCTTGATTCCTTTCCTGGAATACCTCGCCGGTATGGGCGTTGAGGATGTGCGCCCCGTCCTCAAGTCCTTCGAGGGCTCGTCTATCCCCGTCGAATTTGCCAAGCGTGAGAAGGCCATGCGCGAGCGCTTCGAGCAGGAACTCGCCGAGGAGCAGAAGCGCCGCCCTCGGAGTGGTCTGGGCGGCTTCGCCTCCGCTCTGGGTCTGAAGTCCAACCGGACTCTGGACGGCGAGCAGAGCCCCGCCGAGGGCCTGGCCCAGGGTAAGATGCTCTGGGACCAGATCCGCGAGCGCGGCCAGAAGAATTACGAGATGATCGAGAAGGAGATCCGCGAAAACGGTGAGAAGTGGCTGGCCGAGATGGCCGCCGAGGAGGAGAAGGCTCGTCAGGAACAGATGGCCATGATGAAGGGCTCCTTGACCGGCATGTTCGGTGCTGGTGGTGACAGGAAGCAGTAAGCAAAAAGTCAAAAAGTGAAACCGATCGTCACTTGCTTTGTGTTTCTTGATTGCAGGAGCACTCTTTATGAGAGCGGGTGCTTGGGTTCCATACGAGCGCCACCAACGAACTTCCTCTCTCTCTGTCTCTCTCCTCTTCTTTATTTTCGTGTCTTGTCTTCCTTCTTCTTTTAATCTACGTATACCTGGGGTACACTGTTGTTACTGTTGTTCTCGGGACCGGGGTTTTCGTGTTGTGCTTTTTTTTTCTTCTCTTTCCTTAGAAGCAGGGGTTTCTGTCCCGCGCACCCATCCTTTGATCACGGGCTGATTGTAAAATAGCATCCTTTTTTTCGTTATTGTTGTCCATCTAGGAGGGAGGTTATGTATAAATTGGAAATAAAATCTAATCATATGCATGGTTTCTATATTACTTACGCGTAGGGTAGGCTGAATTGCATAGCAGGTTAGGCTCGAATTATGTATGGTGTGGATGAGTTGAAGTATATATTTCCGGCTACCACCTGGGTCCCTACAATCATTTGTCTGCCGAACCGCCAGATTTCCGCAATCGCAGAACAATCGTTGCGGCAGTCGAGCTTCAATGTCATAAAAGGTATGTATGTTTGTAGTATTCTTCTCTCTCTAGGCAGAAAGAACCTGCAACTCAGCAGCAGCAGCAACCTTGCACTCACTGCCTCAATGGGTATATTCTAAAAAAAAAAAAACCAAGACAGAAAGCCTCCCCTCTCCCCTCCTTCCTCCTTCCACCCCAACCTCCACATTCACCCTCACCCTCACTTTCGACTCTTTTGTTGAAAAGACAGAGGGGGGAAAAGATCAAGTAGTCGAAAGGGAGAAGTGGGTATCCATACTCTCGTTGAAAAATGAGCATGATTTGATAGAGATCATTGAAACAAAGTCAATGAGAACCTGGGGTGATTGGTTACACAGAATATTACGGTTATGTTGCCTTGTTCAAGGATTATTTTGTTTTGCGGGCTTTTACGATAGGTTGACGTCCTGGAAGACAGACACGTCCCAGATGCCCGTCATATCGAAGGGAAAGCCGTCCATGGTGCCGAACGTGCCGGAGATGGACATCATGTCGTCGACGATGTCATTGTTGGTCTGCGTCTCGGGGAGCGAGATGGCCGCCGGGTTGACGAGACGGCCTGTGGCCCCCGGGTGGTCGGACGCGCCGCCTGCGCCGCCTGCGCTGCCGCCGCCCAACATGCCGCCGCCCAGGCCGATGACCTGGCTGAACGTCGTGTCGGGGTTGGTGGCACCACCGCCGGCGCCGGCGCCGCCGCTGCCCGGGGGCGCCGCTAGGCGGCTGAGGAGCCGTTCGCAGTGGTCCAGGCACATGTCGGCGACGTCCCAGTCCTCGTCCTCGCGGACGCGGCGCAGGATGGCGCGGAAGGTCTCGACGTTGGTGAGGCAGGACCGCGCGACTTCGCTGTCGGTGGTTTCGAGGGCGCAGCGGACGAGAAGCGTCGCAGTCGTGGTGAGGTGGAATGCGCTGTCTGTTTTGGGGGGGTGGGGTTGTTAGTCTCTGGTTTGGCTGGCAGAATGGGTCCAAGAGTCACAAAAGTGAGAGAGAGGTGCTTACATGGTAGCCAGAATTCTTGGAAATTCTCCTTTCGAAGGGAGGAGATGAATTGTACTATCTCCTCCGCCGATTTGCGGCATTCAGTCTGGAAATACCGGCGTGCTTCCGGGTTTTCGGTCTCCGAGTTGTTGACCTCCTACGGATTTGTTAGCTTGGCTGGACAGGAGGTGTCTTGTAGCAGGTGCGTCGCTCACGTTCAATTCCACCCGGCTCACTAGCATCTTAACAGCTAGGAACGCTAGCTGAAGACTGCTTGTGCCGGAGATGCGTCCCTCAGAGGTACGTGGAGGGTTTCTCAGCCAGTCAGGCAGCGAGTCCTCCCAGACATCGAGGTCCGTCCGGATCTGTCTCACTTTCTTAGTGGTTTCGCGCGCGAACCGGTGCTGAAGACCGTAGACAAGGGGCAGTAGCTCGCCCAGAATCTCCGTCAATTGGCACAGCGCGATGTGGCAATGCGCGGCTCGGACGCGTTCAGGGGTGCGAGATGCTGGTGGTATAAGTACGTCGATTGTCGGAAGAGGGACATCGTACTGATTCTTTGCGATCTGTGGCGGTACACCGTGACCGAAGCTCCCCCTGAAACCAATGTCAGTAGCCCTTTCTTGCTATGTAGAAACGATACCTACCATCGATCGTGGATGACCACTCCCCACCATAAGCGCATGCGATGATTCTTTTCAGCTGGGGACAGTTTCCAATGACTAGGGTCGCGATTGAGTCCGAGACAGTGTGCAAGGGAGACCATACGGCCGCTACTGATCGCATTTCCAGTCATGGAGAAGATCGGGCGACCGGTCAAATCAATAAGAGCGGCGCTTATGGTAGACAGACCAGGGGCGGAGAATTCCTCGTGTAGAGCGGCCACAGTCATGTTGACCGCGTAACGGACGTCTGGTTTTGGATGACACGCCAGCTTGGGAGTGTGCTTCCAATACACTAAAGACATCGAATACACCTGACACAAAAGAGAGGCTGGCGGGTCCCCCGGAGTCTCAGAAATAAAAGCCTCCCAAAAGCTTTCTCCATCGAAGATGGGGAACGCAGCGTTGAACCTGTCAATGAACCTATTTTGGGTGATTAGTAGGTCATTCCGATCCGATCCAATCCTAGACGGAGACATACAGTCTAACTAGGTCGTGCTTGAAAGGTCCTAAGATCTGCTCCAGGATTTCTTTCTGATTCTCTCCTGGCGGAATACCAACGCGCATTCCCTGTCTTCGTCTCGAAACAGTCGTGTACAGAATGGGCTTCCTTGGATCGCTCGAGTAGACATTATACGTATTGTTCTTCGGTTCTACGGACTTGCTCGTCCGCTCGGTGGGCATGTACTTCTCAATCACTTGGGCGTCGTCAGCCACCACAGGCCCAACAATGAGGACAGACTCATTGTGAGGATCATCGAATCTGGACTCGCTTCCTCGATGGCCACCGACTGAGTCTGTCTGGGGAACACTGGATGCCCGTGGGCGGCTGCCACTGGCCGGGGAGCCGACTTCTGAGCTGCGCTTACGCTTCTGACCAACAGTCGACACTTGCGCCGGATCTGCGGACCAGCGTTTTGTGTCATGGCCGTCTGAGAGTGGAGCATCCTGGCTGGAATCCTCCTGGTAGTGGCAATCGGCGCCCTGCACGCGACACAGCAGACACGATTGGCCGGGTATATCCACAGTGCACCGAGACTTGCGCTTCCTGCACAGATCACATGCCCTGACCTTATGTGACCTGTATGGTCTGGCGCCGGCGTTGAATCCCGGAGAGGCGAGCTTCTGGGTGGAGCTACTCGGAGCTGTCGTCGACGACATGATGAGCCTTCAGCAAACGGGCGACCTGCTCGGGGATTCTTGTGTAGATCATCAACTAATCGTAAGCCAATTGAGGACACTGCAAATCATGCAATCGTGATAGAGGGCGAACACCGTCGAGTGCGAAGCGTGCGTATGGTGGAGGATCGGATCTAGGCCGGCCACCGATGATCGGGGATCAAGCGCTGTACCCGGCTAAATGACTCTGAGAGTAGGAGAGGAAAGCATTGATCCGGGGTAAGCTAGTCGCGAAGCTGCGCCAAGTACTGCATGGTCACTCAGCATACAGAAATCAAACAGGCATTGCGATGAGCGACGAGTTCACTTTTGGGGGAGGGGGTGGTTCGGTCCATCCAGCGCGGGATGATTATTTCCCTTGCGTTTTCTCCGAATCCGATAAAATCTTCGTTCTTATCGGCTGCTGTGAAGTTGTGGGGAGGAAAAGAGCTGAGTCAGCGGGTCAGACCAACCACGTGCTCCTAAATCGGAGTCCGTATTCACATCGGGTGGACTAGGCCCAAATGGGACTGGACAGGGTCCCCGCGCCCGCCTCAGGCCTATTTCAGGCACCCGTTTCACTTTCTCCCCGCCTGGCATGCGCGAACGGACTTGCAGTGAGCTCACTCATTCACTTACCTCTCATCCACTCTCCGAGTACTCCGTACAGCCCAGCTGATTGATTATTTGCTAGACCATGCAGCCAACGCATGGACTTGCTGTCTTTTCTTATGCCTCTTTAGCTTAGCTTAGCTCTGTTTGAGTTTTATCCACTGAAACCGGACCAGACGATCACCGTTGCATTGGTCTACATTGGTCTACGTTTGGAGAGACACAGCCACCGGGGTCGCTAGTTGGCGCTTCCCGTGCTTTCCACTCACCAGAGTCACCACCACCCACACTCCCCCCCAACGCGCCAAATCCTGCATTCGGGATCCTGCCAACTTCCCCCTACGCCTTTTTTCCGCCATGATGCTGGATGGGTGCAATTGATCCTATAATTGTGTCTGCATTTGTCTTTAGCAAATGTAGACACCCATGGGTTGGACATCGTTGATCATGGATGAGGATGTCCTATTACCTGCGGCTGAGCGGCTCGATGGGCCCCATCAAGACGATGATGACCAGCAACCGACAACATGTTTGATCAAGCTGCAAAGCGATATGGTAAAGCAGGAGAAAGAGCTCGCAGGCGAGCAACGTTCCTCACCCTTTGCCCGTTTACCTCGCACAGTCATTGAACAGTAAGTACTTTCATTCTACTTCTTCTAGCTGGTCAGCTGGGAGGCGCTTGTTCGCTTCTCCATATCGCTCACCCGCACTGCGCGGTAACTTGACCTATATGCGGTTCGTTCTTAACGGGTTACACAGTATCCTTTACGTTGCGGATGCAAACACATTCGCCTCTCTAGCCTTACTGAATCGCAAATGGAGGCGGATTTCCGACTCGACTCTGCTATACTCTCATCATTTAGCCCAATGCCCATCTTTCTCTCTGACCCAGAAGGCCATCGCGGAGCCATGTCAACAGCCATGCGACCTGTCACACCTCAAACAAGTGTTCTACACTCAAATCAGACGGAATGCTTTTGAGACCTTCTTGCGACCTCGCAAGACTCTAATCAAGCTGATATCGACCTCGATGAGCTCGTCAACAGCATTTCCGCAGGGCGAAGCTTTCCGGTTCTCTTTCTCCCCCAACGGTCAACTAATCCTGTGCATCAGTTCCTCTCGAATTGTTGTCCTTGACGTCACCTCAAACCCTGCTTCAGTGAAGCATGAACTCAAAACCTGGAGGCGTCCATTGCATGCCGCGATCATTGACGACGGGTCTCTGCTTGCGGTGGTTTCTTCTAGCCATCGCGTCAATGTTTACAGTCTTTGTGACGAGGAAGTAAGACTGGTCCAAGACCTAACCTTGAACGATGTTCCTCGGACGCTAGCGCTATCTCCCACGGGAGGTGTGCTTGCTATTGCGTATGATGATCGCATTGAAGTACATGCGACCGGAGAGGGGGTACTGGCCACCGAGAGACGAGCCGTGCGCTGCTCTGGCGTCGATTCTGTCTCTTTCTCTGCAGATGGAGCCATGCTTCTTGGCACTTCTGCCGATCCTCAAAATAGTGGCTTGGTCACGATAACAGTACCGTTCTATGCCGAATCGGAGCCTGAACTCTCTCTGAGAGATGTCCATAGACGGATGTGGACTACTCAAATCCTCTTTCCGGATGTTACCACGGGCTTCAGTCGCGCATGTATGCTCCCCCTCCACTCCGAGGGCGAAGGTAGCTGGATCATGGGTTTTGATGAACAAATCAACTCACTCCGAGCGTTTGGGGCCAATAACACTAGCTCAGGTACAACGTACTTTGTGACGCCCATGTCCGATGATGGAACCAGGGAATCTGCCCCCACCATGCTACCTACTGTTGATGATATGGGGGAACTGGTTGCGGCTGGCTTTGAGGAATCTGGTCTTTGGGTGTATGGCATACCCGATCGTCTGGATATCGCTCCCGTAGCGAGTAGCACACGACCACCAGCTGGGTCCAATGGGGAGCTGTACCACTGGGAACACGAAGGCGCGCTGCCTGTTGAAGATTGCTCATCTCGACTGCAGCGGTCTATCACCAAACCAAAAGTACTCATCAAGGGTCATAAAATCAGTGATATGCCGGGCATGACTGCAGCCCACTGGGTGGAATGTACGGGTCTCGCTACAGAAAATCGCCGCCTGGTGGCCGTCGCACCAGGTGGCATCAGCCCCCCAACCATTGGCGAAGAAGATGTGCCGGTGGATGGTGGACGAGTCCTTCTGCTGGACTTTGCACGTTCAGCGAGCGATGGCAATTATACCGAGATTAGCATTGAGATTGGTGATGCGGAACCAAAAATGCTTTATGAGCCAGACTCGAGTCTAGACACCGAGGTAGAACTAGAAAGAAGAAGGACTCGCATACACCGTGCAAGCGCTACGTCGCCGCGAGCCAGAGCTTTCGCTAGGGAGTCATATCCGTCGGCCCATTCGGTGTCTCACGCTTCTCGGCCGAATATTCGCCGCAACAGCTCCTTCTTCTCCAGTTCTTCGAATGGAGATGCGTATCATATCCCAGAGTCCCCGTATGACAATGGGCAACCGCGGTCTAGGGATACACTGCGTCGTGCTGCGACTGCTGCCGCCAACACGAGGGAACGATATCACCCTCCACATCGCGATGCGCAGTCCCCCATCCACCCGAGACCAGCGTCGCAGACCTTCCAGGTACCTCATGAAAGTGACGCTGACAACTGGGTACCGCCCCCTCCACCCTATACTCGCGTGCCGGATGCACCTCTCCCTGATCATTTGCGAAGGACTCTGCTACCCTCCAGGACAGAGCCGATCATCCGAGTTGGCGAACCTCCGGCCGAAGTCCAGCGCTCGCAAACCAGCCGTCTAGAGAATATGGTCGAAGAATCGTCCTCTCGGGCGTCACTGCACAGATTGAACAGCATCGCGAGCTCGAGGCTCGCTTCTCGCCTAATGCGAAATAGCATCAGAGAGCCCGTATCTCCCGAACGAGCGCGCAGGCAAAACACATTCATGCGCAGGAGAAGAGGTTCAGCCACCGGCGCTTCGCAAACCATCGAGGACACGAACGGACTCGCACCGCTGGTCACTCCTTCTCAAGAACACGCCGAGCAGCATATACACTTCCAACTAGAGAGCATAGCCGACTACCCAGCGCAGCCTGACCGATCCGTGCCCCTCCTCTCCACTGACCCATCTCTACCGCCCTCGAATTCTCAAGCCAACTACGCCAATCCGTCGCCCGAGCAGCCTACCATACATGCCTGCATCGACGTTCCGGGAACCATTCCCGCCACGCAGGAACTCGGCAACACCCGCCAGTACTCCTTCTCCTCCCCCAACCTCCAAGTTCCATCCGCCCTGCAGTACGATGCTCCAGAAGTCCTCCAAGACAGTCATATGCGCTCCGGCTACCCCCACCAGATGGGCGACCGTCGTCCGCAATCCCAGGACCTTCCACTACCGCTGATAGGGGCCAGCATTCAACCCCTTCACCACCGGGCCTCGACGGATCCCACGCTATCCGCCAGCTCTCAAGCTGCCGCCCATGACCTGTGGCGGAGACGCATAGAGGAGTGGAACGAACAAACTATTTACGAGAGGAGCAAACGGCGAAGCAAGTGTATTGTGATGTAGCAGGGCTGCTTTTTCCCATTTTGCTTTTTCATCAGATCTCGATTCGATTTGGTTTTTTTCTTTCTGGGTTGCATCATTGGTTTCGAAGATTTGGAGTGTATATTGATAGGACCAGGAACATATTTGGGATTGTAGAGCGATGGCGTCGTTTTCTTTAGTTTAGAGCCTGGGACTATTATCTGTGTTACAGGTAAGAAGTTGGCTTCTTATATATTCAAACGCATCAGGAGGGCTGGGGTTGATCCAGTCTCGTGTGATTGGTAACTAAATGTCTCATTCATATTTCAGCATCCGCGAAACGTGTTCGAAATGTTGGCTGGCAAATTTAAGATGTCAAAAGTAAACAATTAGATACTGATCATTGTCGACGTGCACGAATTTCAGAGCATACGAAAGCATGGACATCACAAACATCGCAGTTTAACTGCCCCCGCCTCCTCCACCACAACCTCCCCCTCCGCCTCCACCTCCGCAACCACCACCACCACCACCGCCGCCGCAACCAGCCCCTGCACCACCACCACAACCCCCAACACCACCGCATCCACCCCCAGCACAACCCGCGGAGCAATTCCCTCCCATCCCTCCACAGCTGCCTGCCGCAACCCCACCTCCACACGTCCCCGCCGCACAGTTCCCATGCACCCCTTCCACGAAACTCATACAGCTGGGGTTCGCCACATACGCATCCGCATGCACCCCGGGATCACAGGTATACGGGGCATATAAGGGCACATAGACCGGATACCCCCACAGCAGAGGGTAGTAGCCATAGACGGGGTCCACCCCGGCGGCGGCGGCGGCCCCGGATTTT